TCAGCTTGGATTTGCATAAAGAACTCTAGAAATCAATAAGACTGAATTGATTCTTGCTTTCCCTCACCAATCTTCTCATACTCCAGATTCATCTGAGCCAACAAATGTCACTGCCTTTGGCCAAGTAGCTCTCTGCAGAAACCTGGAAGACATCTTTGACACCTGTTTCTCCTTCCCTCTCACATCCAATCCCGTCACCAAGTCCTGTCAATTCTACTTCTATAGTGTGTCAAACGTAATCCTCGCTATTTTCGCTGTGCTCATTCTGACAGGAATTACTTAATTTTCTTCCAAAGAACTAGTCTCCCAACTAAACTACCCAATTCTCTCTCACACTTCTGTTATTCCATTCTCCTCAGCAGCCAGAGTGAGTCATTAAAATACAGTCTGATCATATCAATCCCTTGCCTAAAGTACTTCAATAGCTTTTTTCCCGTTTATGATAAAGTCTACAATCTTTAACATGGCATCAGAAGCCCTGCCTGATCTGCCTCTACTGTTCTATACATAAACTCTCTTATGTTTTTGTTTTCTGTTTTTTTATTGCATGCAACAGAAACTGAATCTAATTAGTTTCTAGATACAGACACAGGAGACTATCAAGGAAAAGCTGAGCAAACAAGACTCAGGGAGGTAAAGAAACCAAGTCCTCCCCCAGGAACCTCTGCAGCAGCAGGTGGATTTGTCTCACTCGAGTGCTGACATTGATGTGATTAGTTTTCTCTCTTAAATGTGCCAAATGACCAGGAGAAAGAATCTGATTGGCTTGGCTTCTGTCAGGCTTTCACCCCTGGATCTATCTATCCCTGAATCTATCTCCACAAAAGCAGGTCTCTCTTGTTTATTACCGTATTACATGTGCCTGGCATAGAGTAGGGGCTCATTAAATATTGAACTAATTTATGTCCACCTAATTGAATAAAGGAATTGGCCATGGTCAGAAGATAGAGACAATTGATACAGACACAGCTGATGGGGGCTCACACTGGGGTGTGGAGTCCATTTCCATGGTTGAGGGTGAGGCATCCACCTCAGGAGATAACCTCTACATGTGCTCTTCAGCCTCACCTTGCTCTACTTTCCCCTCGCACCAGGAGCCTTTGGCCTTCTTTCATCCCTCGAAACTGCCAAGCTCTTTCCAAACTCAGAGTCTTTGCATATGCTATTCCCTGTGCCAGATATGTTCTTCTCCACTGTGCTGGTTATATATTTATTGCCTCTCAGCTCCAAATTTGTCCTTTTTTGTGAAAAAATATATGAGCCCTTTAAATAATTTTTGTCAGCTGATATATTAAACTTTGTCAGTAGAGGGAGTTAGAGAGACATTGCAGGAGACAAAAGTTTTCCTTCCTGGTTCTGTGCTTGGCAGGCTTCTGCAGCAAGGCCAGCGGCTTCTCCTGGTGCCCATCTTGGGCAGTTTTGTAGCACAGTGCCTCCTGTGAGATACCTCACCGTGAGCAGCTTTCCCAGCACCTTGGAGGGCGGATTTCTAGCAAGTCCCAGAGGGTAGAGTTCCAGCAAGTTCCACTGGTGTGAACTACTCTACTAGCCAGCTACCCACAGCCAGAAATTCTCCAACAAGGTCTAGGTCTCTATCCCAGGAGCAATGACTGCCCATTATCTCTGCTATTCCTCTATTCTTACTTCTTACTAGCCAATCCATTGTGACTTCAATCCCGTTAATAATTCTTTTGTTTTGGCGGTGCCTCACGGCGTGCAGGATCTTAGTTCCTCAACCAAGATCGAACCCACGTCCCCTGCAGTGGAAGTGCGGATTCTTAACCACTGGACCACCAGGGAAGTCCCTGTTAATAATTCTTTATATCAAACTTTCCCTGTTCAAATGACCATGTAGCTTCTTTCTCTTGATTGGACACAGACTGGTATGCACCCCTTCTCTTCACCTGTCTAATTTTATTTATCCTTTAGGTGATAATATCATTTCCTCTGAGAAGACTTCTCTGATATCTCAAACCAAATTATCCCTTTTCTTTTCCTTCATAACATCTTCCACAGTTTTAAAATTATGCATTCATTTGTGTAATTATTATGTCTCTGTCTTCTCCCACTAGGTAACAGGCTCCAGGAGGGCAGTGATCATGTTTATTTTGTCTACTGCCATAAATCCAGTGCTTATTATAGTGCCTAACCCAATAATGGGTCATTAAATGAAAAAGACCTCCTTTATTGAGGTCCTGTTACATTCAAGTCACTGGTGGCAACTAAAAAAAAAAAAAATAGAACTCAATCCCTGTTCACAGGGGGTTGACAAATTTATATGAAAGAATAAGACCCACACAAAAAATGTAAAGCAGTAAAGGGAAGGTTTCAAAAGAATGGTACAAGTTGTAAGTACTAGTAATTCAGAGGCAATCAAGAATTTATTCTTAGAAGACTTTGTATTTTGGGGGGGCTTCCCTGGTGGCACACTGGTTGAGAATCCGCCTGCCAATGCAGGGGACACGGACTCAATCTCTGGCCTGGGAGGATCCCACATGCCGCAGAGTGGCTGGGCCCGTGCGCCACAACAGATGAGCCTGGGCTCTGGAGTCCATGAGCCACAGCTGCTGAGCCTGCATGCCACAACTACTGAAGCACGTTCACCTAGAGCCCGTGCTCTCCAACGGGAGAAGACACGACAATGAGAAGCTCATGTACGGCAACGGAGACCCAACACAGCCAAAAAACAAAAAAACAAACAAATTAATTAATTAAAAAAAAAGACTTGTATTTTTTATAAAATCCCTAGAAATTAATTTCTTCTTAGCTAATTGGATTTTATCTGTTATATATCAATTGAGAGAGAAATGGTCCAAATGAGATCAATTATTTATTTTAGAAGGTACTTTTTGGTAGGTTCATAATGAGTTATTAATTTCAATGAGTTTTTAAAATCTAGCATTATATTTGTATTTGTTCTATGCATTGTAGGTTTCCTAAAGTAGAAATAATTAACTATAAAATTGGAGAAATTACTCACATTTCCTCTTTTCTAGGACTGGGTTTCTGGCTTTAAGCCCTTTCTTCAGTGTGCATTGGTGAGGGCCGGTTGTTAGCTGTTTATATCTATGGTGAGGGGCTTCTACACATGCTTACTTTGGTATGATTTTGGACAAATCACAGTATCACGTATTCTAGGATTTGGAGCAGTTAATAGTTAAATTCTGTCCAGTTTCTTCACCCGGAGATGAGGGGCTGTACTATATGTTCTCAGATCCCTTCCAATTCTCTCTGAAGACATGCACACACTTACTATCAGTTGAGCAATAATTCCCAGTGTCAGGTATGTTTCCCGCTGAAAGTCCATGGTTGTTTAATGAATCTCTGGAATTGTAAATTTTATTTAATACATATACTTAGTGAGGTTTGGCATTTTGAGATGTCAAATGCTTATAAGAATTTTGATTCTTTAGCCCACATTGATCACATAATGTAACCTTCCTGGTCTTCAGCTTCCTGATTAGAGAGTAATATATTGACAAGATAACATGAAATTTTTGTTTAATTAATAAACTTTTCCTGAGTATTTATTGCGTATCAGGCACTGTAGGAATCCCTGAGGATACAAAATTAATACCTGATTCCTGCTCCCTATGTTTAGGGAGAATTGAAGGAAGAAGAAACTGGTGTTACAAAGGTCAGCTAGAAAGCCATTGTGGTCAATTACACTATTTCCTTATGTCAACTGCAAAAAAAGTGCACAACGTGAGAGTTGTGAGTTAAGTTTTATTTGGGGCCTCATGAGGACAATAGCCTGTACTATAGATAGCTCTGAGGAACTGTCAGTGTATATATGATTTTAGTGAAGGGGGATATGTGCAGTCAAGTACACATTTTGGCAGAAGGTTGCTGCTAGTCACGAGGAGCAGATGTCTCCATTAATGATTTTACTGGTTTTCTAGAAATGAGAAGACACAAGAAATTGGGCTCAAAAAACCTTCTCCTGAAAATATCTAACTATCTGAAGGTCTGTTCTGCAGTTTTTCCCAGAGTACAGTGTGCCTCGTTTCTGATCTCTACCCTGAACTCCTTTCAGAGTGTGTTGAAGGTCAGCGACTACAGTGGCTAGTGACTTCATTCTTGTAGAATGGCAACAGATGACAAGCGACAACTTTTAGTTGGCACCTATTTTTAGTATTTTCTATTCAATAAAAAACTATCTTTCATAAGAAAGAAGATAGGATGGAGATTATTCAGGATAAACTATGTCAAATTGAAAAATGAAAAAAATGAGTTAAAGATTTGTTTGACCAGAGGCAAGAAAATAGGGACTGCAAAGTGGAAGTTAGACTCCTGAGTGCTTTGAAACTCACAGTTGAGAGGATGAACTTTTCACACGAAGGGCTTTAAGGCATGGTCTTCAGATGTATGGCAATAGAAATTTTTGTAAATGCAAAATTTTTGTACTATTGGACGTGAGATGGTGATGAATATGTTAAATGTGAGCTGGACAAAGCAGACCAGAAATAAAACAAACCCAGCTGCTAAAATTAAACTTTAAAAAAGCGACCCTCAACCGCTTGGACTGGGAATTTCCACCAGTGTTTGGAGGTCCCCACCTAGACGCACAGTAACCTCTTAGAGACTTGGATGTTCTCCAGGAGAGCTAGTCCTTTTTTTTTTTTTTTTTAACCAGAGAAGGAATGATTTATTAGTTGCAGCAAGGAGGGAGAATACCAGGGATCTTTCCCAAAGCAGTGTCTCCCAGGCTTTGCATATTTTAGGCAACCAAAACCAGACAGTCCTATTTTCAGACTTTCCTGTCTGCTCTATTGACTGCGGCTGCAGCCCTGGAAACAGGGCAGACACCAGCCAGCCACTTCGGCACTCTCTAGTCAGAGCCCCCGCCAAGTCCCCTCCCACTCGCACCCAGAGATCTGGCTTCTCATTGGATCAGCGTGGGGACATGGGCGGCTTCCGATTGGTTTAGAGGAGGGGAGGTGCGTGCTGACGTCACGCCCGCCCTAAAAAGTCGGCCTGCTGCTCAGGGCTCTGGAGAGAGAATTCCGAGAAGAAAATAACCCGGAACAACCTGTGCGGGCCTGAGCCTGCTCTCTTTTGGAGCTGGGGTCCCCTCCCACCCATCAGGAGAGCTCCACCCCCGCACTCCCCGCCAGCGCCGGGGTATCAGGTGACCTCAGGCCGGCGCAGTCACGTGACTAGGCGCGCCCGCCCGTTGTGGCCATGGCGGCCTTAGGCTCCGGTGTGGTGAGGCGAGTGGAGGAGCTCGGGGACCTGGCTCAGGCCCACATACAACAACTTAGCGAAGCCGCCGGCGAAGATGGTGAGGGAGCCGAGGAGAGGGAGGGAGGTGGGCGGGCGGACGGTTGTTCAGAGCTGGCGGTCTACGGCCGTAGGGGCCGAGGCTGCGGCCTGTTGTCCGTGTGGATCCCAGGCCAGGACTGCCGAAGGTGTTGCCCTTCTGGCCCGCGCTGCGGGGTCGCTGGTCCACTTCCAAGAACTCACAACGCCTAAAGGCAAGGCGTTTGCTTCCAGACCCCATTTTTCATAACCCGTGAAAAGCGCTGAAATCCCAGTCATATTAGTGCTGCTTGTCTCTAACTGTCTCGGTAGCAACTGGGAAAAGGGCAAGATCTGGATGGAAGTACACGTGGAAGTTTAAAAGAGTTGTTAAAGTTGGATGATGGTACGCAAATAAGTAATGGTTTTGCGTGTAGTAGAGATAGCTAGGCGTGTATAACAGTTCGACTTTTTCATTGCTTCGTTGTGAATTTCTGTGTTATGTTTTGGATTCTCAACTCAGCTGTAAACAATACAGAAGAGATTTACATTGGTATAATTTCGATAATTCTCTCACATTCATCACCTCAGGTCTCACAAGGGCCCTGTCAGTACTAGAATACTTTCTTGGAAATGTCTAAGCGGTTTCCTTTGAAAAACTGACGGAGAATTACTTGGACTTTTGTTCTCTTTCAATACTTACCAGCTGCCTCTACGTTTCTACATTATTTCCTTTTGAGTTTTGCACCTTTACTACAGATAGACAGTTTTAAAAATTCTTGTGGACTGTCTCATTGTCATCAAACTCATAGGAAAATAGTAGTGGAACGTTTTCCCAAGCGATTGAGTAGTTGGTGAATTTATTGAATAGGGTCCATGATAAAATGGCTCTAGTTCCAGTGAAGATTATTTGCTGGATTTTCTTTTCTTAGGCGTATGTTCTTAAAAACCCACAGACTACCCTGAGCTGTTTTCTTTTTCGGTTTGTGGTAAGTGAATCACATGAATAGTTAGTTCATGGACAGTAGTAGCTGTACCTGGAAGTGTATCTAAGTTACTTCTAAGTAAGCTATTCAGTGATCTCCACCCCATTCCAACTCCATTAGAATCAGTCTAAAGAGATCAAAGAATGTATGCTATTCACTTACCATTGAAACCAAAAGCCATTGTCATTTTCCAATGGACGAGTTCTTTAATCCAGTCTAGAATGAGGGCTGAAAATTAAAGTGGTATATATTCTTGTTTGGAGGCTTTAAAGTTCTGAAGTGTACTGGAATTAAAATAATAGTGGTCCACCTAATGAGCTATTCATCAGTATTACTAGCAAGATTTTCTTATATTTATGAAGTTTAATTAAAACATGGTTGCATGTATTTGAATTGAACTTGTATTTTCCCATAGCACAAAAATAATATGCACCTAAAATTTGTCCTTTAATGATATTTATATTAGGTTATAGGGATTGATAGTTCCTGTTGTCTTTAAATTAGATCAGATACAACCAGACACTAGTCCATCTAAGAATACTCTCCTTTTTACCTCTGGTAAATTTTTGTTCATTTTTTTCTCATTGTACAAGCATAGTATGTTTACTTTATGGAAATATACCATGAGAGGGACCTTTTCCAGGGACTATGTAAGAATCACTTGTCTTTGCCTTGTCAGTCACTACCTTGAATGGTTAGGAAAAATACTACATTTCATAAAAATTTTCTAAAATTGTGAGCCATTATCCCTCCACCTCTGTAATTATGTCATGAATTCATATGAGATACTCCTTCAGCAGCGGTTCAGTGAACTAAGTGCAAGTCTTTACATTTAAAATAATCCTGCAAATTAAGAAGAAAATATCAACTCAGTGTTTTAAGAAGTACCTAAGGAGTACCATGTTTCATACAATTTAGTTCACAATAGAATATTTTTTTCTGAGCTGTGTGGATGATACTTCTGGGCTGAGGAGAGATAGGAGGGCAGTGCTAAAGAAGTAGTTTTCAATTTAGGTGAATAGTGGATCTTAAAGCGTTCAGAATCTGGTTTAGATACAGGTTAGGCTTTACCAGGGAAAACTTAAAGTCATCATATTATTGCCAACAGATGCAGCTTAAGCTGGTGGTGCTTTTGTTCCAATGCTGAGCAGCTTACGTACCTGTGTAGGTGCTGAGGCTGGATCAGATGGACCCTCACCAAGTGCTACATTTTCTGTCCATTTGCCAGTGAGGGGAAAAGGATATATATTTCAGGAGGAAGCCACAGAGGGGCATACTTAGGAACTTAAGCGTCTTGATGGTGGGCATATTTAAATTTGACTACGTGAGGTGATGCAGAAGTGTGGATGGCACCTTGGTATGGACACTTTGTAGGTTAGGCAGGAAAAATCCATAAGAAAAAGTGAAAACGTCGAAGCAAAGAGAATATGACATAAGAGAAAAGGAAGAAATTAGACCATGTAGAGGGGAAGTGAGGGGGAGTTGTTTTTAGAGGGTATATCAGAAGTATTTAGTTTAATTTTGTCTAGGTTTTGAAGGCATTAAGTAATTTGTCCCATTTCTAGGTTTTTAAAGGAGTAAAATATTTAGGTAGTTTGTGTAATTTTAATTGTAACAGCTATTTGCATACATAAATACATAAACACAATTATAAAGTTATAATTGCTCAGAGTGCTTACATTTTATGAGGCATTTGATTTAATCAATCATGTTATTTTTTGGAGAATATATTTATGAAGTTATAAGTTAGTGGAAGTCCTTTCTGTAGATTTATGTATATTATTTGTACTATTCCAATACAGGTTTTAAATTTATTGCTTAAACATTTTGAGTATGTCAACATCATAAAAGAAGCATTATGAAAATACAGATTGCACTTAAGAAATGGCAGCTGAACCTAGAAAGTTTTCAGTCCAGCTTTCAAGAATAAATTTCCATGATACATTTAAGTAGGATTAGGCATTATGATGTACTTCATGTTTTACGAAAGATATTATTACCATGCTGTAATAATTTCATTTCATCATTTTAGATATGTAACTTTTTTCACTTAAATGACACTCTGAAACTATGTGAAGTAATCATGTTTTTTTTTTTTGAAGAAAAATTAAGTCTTATTTATTTTTAAAACCAAACCACTAGGAAAATATATCACAGTCTTGAAACAGCAAACAGACATTCTGTATTATCATTTCAAGTAATAAGTTGGTAAAAACACAGCAAGGTCCTTAATAAAATGATAAGGTGCCAGAACTGGGGCAAGAACAACGCAGGTCGCAAAACTGGTATCTGGTAACGGAGGGCTGTCCCTTTTTCTGCCCTAAAGGAGTCACAGCTCGCCCCTGAGTTGCTTACTTTTTCTCCTTTGACCTTCGTGTTGCCAGGGGATTGTCTCAACAGAGCTCTGTTATTACAGGGGGCAAAGTAAGCAATACTGGGTTTAGGCTTTCATTCTGTTATGTTTTATGAAAACAAGATTTTTCCAAGGCCAGTACTTCATAACTCTCTTAATTATGCAGCTAACAATTCCTCTTTTGCTGTTCATTCCTGAATACTAGCATATAGCACAATCAAAATCCCCTTTCCCTTCAAGGGTATCACTGCAAGATTGTCTTGTCACACAGCTGACTCTGCTGCAGACACCCTCAGGGCCCATTATGGCTGCCAGTTAGGGGGAAGGTTTGCTTCCCCTACCAGTGTGATAGCGCTTCTTATATTTTTGCAGGGTCTCCAGGCTGAAAGATGTAATGTGTGAGAATTTTAAGAAATGTGCATCCACATCTTGATGGCCAGAAATGAATATCCGCAAGGACCCTTTCAAAGTTTTTATCCAAACTACCTCTCCCAACTCTACATCTTAAAGTAACTTCATGCCCTTGTATATAAAACAAAACCAAGCAAAACAAATCCCCAGAAGCCCCCCTTTCCCCTTCTAAATTAGTGACCTCATGGATTTTGTTTTATTTCCAGTTTGTGGAAAATGTTGTAGTGATCCTTCTGGTAAACAGGAGGTTGGCAACAAACAGAAACACCTCTCCTCACACTCCACCAGCTCATAAGCAGGTCAGATGAACCTGCCAGCCTGTTGATATCTGTGTACTAAGAGAAGCTGGTACCTTGGAGGGCTCTGGTTTGGTACAAGGGAGACTCCCTGCTGCCAGGATAAGCACTTGCCACATGAAATTCAGGCTCACAAAAACTCTCCTGTGCTATCTCTGACCCAAACTTTAGCACCAGGTTTTTTCACTTTCTAGGATTCAAACACAAAGGAACCAGTGTCCAGAGGCAAGTGACATAGGCCTTAAACTTGCTGCCATCCTTAATTTCCTCATTCATAAACTTTAGAAAACCCAAATCCCCATTCCTCTTTTTAAATAGATTCCTGCCTTCAGCCCTGATGGCCAATAGCAGACATCTATTTCCCAATGGATGAGAGAGACTCCTTCATCTTGGTCATGGTTGGGATGAGGTTTATGTAGTCATCCACACACTTGGTCACGCAACTCTCCAGCTGCCGCTTCACCTGAAGCTCTTTACTCCCCGCATCTATTGAATCTTTGGCTTTGTCGTTGCAATGCATAGTGCACTGGGCCAGGCGGTCCTGGAACTTCTCTAGCTCGCTGGTCACCAGGGCCTGGGCTTGAGCCAGGGGTGCATGGCAGCGCTCAATGCACTGGTGCACTTGCTGCATGGACGCCTGGCTGTCCTCACAACAGCTGGCGCTGCACCGGAAAATGAGACCCTGCATCTTCCGGATGTTCTGTCTCTCCAGACTCTTCACCATAGAATCCACTGCCTCCTGCACCCGGAGCTGCTGCAGCTGTGCCATGATGACCCCACGCTGCTCCAGTAATCATGTTTTTATCTCTTATAGATCACTTTTTAATTCGGGCCTCTGCAGCTCTAGAAAAATTGAAACTTCTGTGTGGAGAAGACAAAGAATGTTCAAATCCATCAAATCTTCTTGAACTTTACACACAGGTACTGAAACAGATGTGGTTTCTGACGTTGTTGAGGCAGTTTGCTTATTTAAGAGGGTTACTCCAAAATTTAGGTGTGATGAAAGCAGTTTATTCTCTATTTAAAGTGTTTGTGTTAAAAAACTATGTATAAAGCATATAGACTTGAAGCTGTAAGGCAGTAAGTATCCTTACAAAGAAGAAAAGTTTATTGGATGTGTTGATAAAAAAGGAAAAAAATCTTGCAGATAACAGTATTGCTTCCCTTTATAGATAATTAAGCAAAACTCTCAAATGGGGCTTCCCTGGTGGCACAGTGGTTGAGAATCTGCCTGCTAATGCAGGGGACACGGGTTCAAGCCCTGGTCTGGGAAGATCCCACATGCCGCGGAGCAACTAGGCCCGTGAGCCGCAACTTCTGAGCCTGCGCGTCTGGAGCCTGTGCTCTGCAACAAGAGAGGCCGCGATAGTGAGAGGCCCGCGCACCATGATGAAGAGTGGCCACCGCTTGCCACAACTAGAGAAAGCCCTCGCACAGAAACAAAGACCCAACACAGCCAAAAATAAATAAATTAATTAAAACAAAACAAAAAAACACTCAAATGTGCAATTTCCAAGGTGTGAAAGGTTAGTCAGAGGGAATGGAGGTTTCTATAAGGGCTCTGATTATTTTTTTTTTCCCTGAAATTCACCTTTCCTTTGGATTCTCAACTTGACTACCTGTGCTTTTGTTATGCAAGTCCATAAGATTTTTCTGTTCTCCCCTTTTTTTACTTTCAAATTCAGACCTTTCTACAGATAAGATGTGTTTTCTCAGTTTTCTCAAACACTGCTGAGGCAAGTGGACACTAAGAAACATAATTTTGAGGGACTTCCCTGGCGGTCCGGCGGTTAAGGCTCTGTGCTTCCACTGCAAGGGGCATGGGTTCGATCCCTGGTCAGGGAACTAAGATCCCGCAGGCTGTGCAGTGCAGCAAAAAAAAAAAAAAAAACATATAATTTTATCATAGTAAGTAACATTTGTATAGCACTTTATAGTTGACAGAGTGCTTCGTATGCCCTTACTTGATTGCCAAGGGATAATAAAGATGAAGTGGTTTATAGGAAATAGAGTAAACTTAGTGAAGTTTCCAAAATGCACGTTCATAGCACTTAGGTGCCTGACACTCTGCTTTCTGTTAGGAGGTACATGGAGATGCTTTCTGCCTTCCGATGTGGTTGAATGAGCCTGTAACAACTACCCACAAACCCCCGAGAGCTGTTACAATTTGGGAGAAATTTACCTCTCTTTTCTTTCAGAAGGTTCCTTGCTTGTCTTGTTTCTTTCACATGGGAGAGTTCTAAACATTTTAACTTATTTCTAAGAATAAGGCAAAAGAATTAGAAATATAGATTAAAATTCCCCAAACCCCTTTGGATCTTACTTATGGTTCTCAATCACCAGGTCATTTTCCTTAGGATGATAATCTCTCCCTTCCTGGCTTAGACCTTCTACACGAGAGCACTCAACACTTAAGTAGTGCTGTTTGCTAGGTAATGTTCGAAGTGTTTGCATATGTTAATTCATTTTACCCTCAAAGCAAGGGACTTTGAAAGGCATTTGGATCAGTTTCTTCATTTTGTCAATGAAGAAACTGGCTCCAAAACAAAGATAAAATATGACTTGTCCTTTGTTAGAACTCAGTTTCCTTAGTCTTAGTCCAGTAGATTAAACAAAGAAAAAGGATTGGGTAGTTTTAAAGTGCTGGTGCTTCATTTGAGAAACAGGTAATCCTTTGAAGATTCAGTATACAAAACTAGAGGTAGTGACCTTGTCTTGATATGGCAGGCATTTAGAAAATGTTCAGGAAGTATATATGTACAAATAGCAAAGACTATAATAATTATACTTTTCATAATTATATTGTATATAGTTAGCTTATCTGAATTAAAACATAAATACCCATTTTACTTTTTGAGGGAAACTAGATTATCTTAATTCAGTATTTTAGTAAAATCCTATGAAGTTTACTATAAAGTTCATCTTAGATTATATTTATAGCTAGATAGTTTGACTACTTAAATACTGTGCTAGAAGATTTAAATGTCTAATAAAGTATATATATGTAAGATTAAACTATAAGAATTATTTATTCGAGTTGAAATCATTTATACTTTTTTTTCTCTTTTACTTCAGGCTATTTTGGACATGACATATTTTGAGGAGAACAAGCTAGTAGATGAAGATTTTCCTGAAGATTCTTCACAAAAAGTAAAAGAGTTGATCAGTTTTCTTTCAGAACCAGAAATTTTGGTTAAAGAAAATAATATGCATCCAAAAGTAAGTTTTGCACAACTATGAATTATGGTGGGATGCTGCTGATTACTGTTATATTACCCTTTAGAATCTGTATTTTTTTTTCTTAAATGTATCTTTGTTTTAAATTAAGATTGAAGGAGGGACATAAGAGTTGAACATTTCAGACTGATGTCACAACTCAAGTATCATATTTTTGTAAATATGTTTCAGAATGTTTGTTTGATGGAATTATATTGTAACTACAGTGCCTAGTAATTTTCTAAACATACACATTTGCTGTTTCTGCTCCCTTTACTTTTACAGATGCTGTGTTTTCTTGAAGGTCCCTAGTAACCTAATACCACATCTCTCGTCCTTTCAGTCTTCTTCTGCCTGGACATTTGTTGCCTTTCTTACCAATGATCACCCCATCCCTTGGAGGCCCTGCATGCTCCTCTTCATCTCTAAGAAGGCTTGCTCTTGCTCTTTTTCAAGCATCTCCCCTCTCTTCCAATCTGGAAACATAGGCACTCCCCAAAGATATCTCCTTAATCCTCTGATAGTCTGTAGTTTGTCTTTGCTTGACAACTTGTTTTTACTGCTGTCTCTGTTTAGATGATTCCAAGATTTTTGTCTCTAGCCCTGGCTACTCTTTCAAGCAAATGATTTCTCATCTTGAACTGTCCGCTGGCTTTCTCTACATAGATATCTTTGTTGCTCTTTGTGTTTATCAGGGAATGCTAACTGTGGAAACAAATAATCCCAAGTTTTAAATGATACCACATAGTAGAAGTTTGATTTATTAAAATTGTTTTTGTGTATATCTTTTCATTGTTTTATTTTAGCAGTAGTAGAAATTGTTTCAAGTAACATATTTCTGAAAACTTATTTTTTCAGTCAGATTATGGAATACTTATATTTCAAATGTATTAGAGAATTGGCTACTAAAATACTTGAACATTAATTTTCTAGAAATATTTGTAAATTGGAGTAGTTATTTTAATTTTCACGTAGCAATAGATTTCTATATTTCTAATTGATTCAGAGTAAGGCATTCCTGTGTAGGTTGCTAAAGTAAAGAGCAAATTTTGTGAAATGAGTATTTTTTAATTGCTCAATATTTTGAAATTTAATTTTGATTTTTACAGACACGAAGTTTCTCTTTTTAGCTGTGTCTTTGTTGTATTTCAGCACTGCGATTTGCTTGGGGATGAACTCCTGGAATGTCTCTCTTGGAGACGAGGAGCCCTACTCTACATGTATTGTCATTCTCTGACCAAAAGGAGAGAATGGCTCACAAGAAAATCTAGCTTGCTTAAAAAGGTGAAAAAGCATTCCTCATACATGTTTTATTGTTGACATTTATAGGTTTCCAAAAGCTGTTTAGTACAGGATTAAGAGTAGAGGAATCAAAGGGCCTGGGTTGGCATTCTAGGCCTGTACTTACCAGCTATGTAATCTTAAACAAATTGGAATTACGGCGAAGATTAAATAAGATAACATGTAAAAGCCCTTTGTAAACTGGGAAGTTTTATATGTTTTTTTTTTAAGTTCTGGATTTTTATTTTTTATTGTACAAGATAGATAATCTATATTAATTTCTAAGCATATTTTTGGCCTGAAGAAAACAAACTTGGTTGTGAGCCTCTCTCTATCAGCAGATCACTCCTAAAGATCCCACGTGACCCTGCTCCTAGGAAATTGTGGCCCTCTGATTTTTCTTGACTCTTCTGACCAAATTAGTAAATCCAAAGATCCTGTCTTAATATTTGTATCACTAAGGATCCTTCCTAACTTAGGTTGATTGTACACATGGTTTATGTGGGCCTGCAAATGAGAGGTCACACTTTCAGATGTAAAAGTTTGATCATAATATTTCTAAATTGTAATAAAGTACATCCATATTTTTAACAAGTTTTTGAACACATCTTTATTATCTTTAACCTCTTCTTGCTCTGATGACATTTTTGACAAGTATATTACTGAATCATGTGTTCTTGGTTAATGATTTCTCTTTTTTTCCCATACTCTTTTACTAATTAGAGGGTTATACTTATAAAAGTTTTTGGGTAGTAGGTCCTTATATTGTAATGTAATAATCATATGATATATCTGTATATTAGCCAATATTCTCTTGAGTAAAAATATTAACATTTGAAGTTTCTACAGTTCTGCATCTAATACTTGGATTCTTTATCTTTGACTTTCATTTAGTACCTTGTTGATGGAATCAGTTATTTGCTACAGATGCTGAATTTTCGGTGTCCCATCCAGTTAAATGAAGGAGTTTCTTTCCAAGACCTAGACACAGCTAAATTACTGAGCGAAGGTAATGTGATCCTTTTTGTAGTTTTCTAAGTGTTTTAAAGCATTTTTAAATTTTAAGAAGTTTACTAGATTTAACTTTGATTGAAATAACTTTCAGGTTACATTATAGACAGAAAAATAATAAAAGGGCTTTTTAAACAATTAAAAAAAAATCTTCTCACGTAATATAGAGAAATACTGCTAATCTCTGCTTAGTAATTTAGGGACAGTAATATATCATGTTGCTTTTACTTACTTTGCATCCCCACAAAGCCCTGATCCTGCTCTAGGTTCAGCTAATTGTAACAGAGACTGGAGGTAACTTTTATTTTATTTTTATTTTTTAAAATTATTTTATTTATTTATTTGGTTGCACCAGGTCTTAGTTGCGGCAGGCGGGCTCCTTAGTTGTGGCTGGCGGGCTCCTTTGTTGCGGCATGAGAACTCTTAGTTGCAGCATGCATGTGGGATCTAGTTACCTGACCAGGGATTGAACCCAGGCCCTCTGTATTGTGAGCACGGAGTCTAAACCACTGCACCACCAGGGAAGTCCTGAGACTGGAAGTAACTTTTAAACAAGGAGAAATTTACTGCTTTTTCACTTCAAAAAGGTCTAGAGCTGGTTATGGTGGCTTCATGGCATCATTAGGTTCCTATCTTTTTCCTCCATCGTCTTTCAAAGTGGAGCGCTACAGCTTCAAAAGGAGGCGAGTTATATAGAATGCGTGTAAACAGTACTTGCCAGAGTTGTGCAACATGCATCCCTGTTGAGGACATTGCTTCCATTCTCAGTGTCTCAAGATGCTGGTGGAGCTCCTTCCGTCTCACCTGTGTTCCAGTCCATAGGAATGGCAAAAGGATGTTTCTTTCAGCCAAGTCTTTCTTTCATCCTTCTCAAGTTTGTTACAACACTTAGAACACTTCTACCTACATTTCACTGGCCAGAATTTAATCACATGGCTTCATATAGCTACAAGGGAATCTGGGATGTATAGCCCTTTACATGATACATTGCCATCCCAAATAATGTCTCTTTACTAAGAAAGAAAGGAAGAATGAATATTGGGTGGTAACTGCTAGTTTCTGTCATAAACTTATATGCACTTAAAAATGTTAGGAACTGGATATAGAGCATCATTTGGGTTTTAGACTGAGGTTTGAGAGGGAAGAACCACTTACTTTTAGCGTCTCTTTACAAATGGAAGAACTGAGGTCCAGATAAGCCTGATAAGGTCACATAGCTAGCAAGTGATGTTAGGTTCTTTGTGTAAACTTTCTTTTATGCTTCATCTGAAATTTTGGGGAAATTTTGATGGGGAAAATTCAAACATGGGGAATAAGAAGAAAACTTCTTAGGGAAAATTCTGTGTTTTAATTTTATAAGTGTATTTTAATTCTTTCTTTGTTAGCTTCTATAGGCTTTTCCTTTCTATTAGATAACATCACACAGAAAAAAAACACCATGATTTAAGAGCCATTAACATATGACTGTCCAAAAGTTGTTACCTTCAGTTTATTCAGGCAAGTAGCTTGTCCTAAAAAAACTTGTGACTATAAGGTGCTCCTTCAGTGGGCATGATGTTTTGACAAACATGGGGTGTTTTGATTTATTTGTGGGAAGTATTTATTCCAGGTAACTAGTGAACCGATTACCTGCATTAAAAATGATCTTTCTAAAATTTCCTCACCCACATGGATTGATTTAAAAGAAAAAGCAGAGATGGGCATTAAAGCTTATTTAGAACCAAAGAAAAGAGCACAAGTCACCAATTTCCCTTATTCTCCCATTTCTAGTCATAAAGTCATATATTCTCATGGCCTAGAATTTTTTTATCACGATGCTTGTGATACTGGTGTCTTCTCTTGGATTATAATTGATTACACTCGCCTCTATCTTCCATTGCTTCTTCAACAGGGGAATCAAAGGCACAGAAAGGGTCTCTTTTTTCCAGGAAACAACAAAACAACATCAACTCCCTAGCGGTTTTGCCACAGGCATCAGTCCTCTTTTGGTGCTGACTTCTTGCTCTCATCTAAAGCAGTTTGTTCCTCCATACTTCATTCCTCAAGATGTAGATTAGAAGCCAGGAAGCCTACTTTTCATAGGCTAAATTACTCTTAAGGCCCTGGTGGAGTGGTTCTAATTTTTTTTTAAATTTTTTGTTAGTCAATATAAAAAACATAATTCGGAATAATTCTTAGTACTAATTAGAGAGAAAAGTTCTATAGGAGTCATCAAAATATTTTTGTGGCCAGATCTTAATGATAATTTGCCTGATTTTACATAAAACTCAGAACAGTGTATACTTAGTATGATTTTTATTTCGTTTTCCAAGGTGAGATAATCATTTTGTCCTTTGGTCATTACCTGTATGCCATTAAATTTTCAGCTTTTAAAAATTACCAGGTAATGTATTCAGTAAATCTTTTTATCTCATTTCTATGGTTCATTCTTCTGTGGGCCCTTATAAAAATAGCCTTGTCAGGATAACTCTGGAGTTAACTAGGTTAAAAGATTGTTCAGCTGTGCACATCCTTGGGTTATGCCCTTTTTATGCCACTGAAGAGCCCCCTTCCCAGCAGCCTTTGGCTCATAGCTTAGCCCAGAACCTGGATTTCAGATGGCTTAAAGGAGCAGCTCTGAATTGACATCACTAATTGCTTGGGTAGCTTGTTTAAAAATAGATTTCTTTTCTTTTCTTCTTTTTTTAAAATTAAATTTATTTATTTATTTATTTATTTTTGGCTGCGTTGGGTCTTCGTTGCTTTACGCGGGCTTTCTCTAGTTGCAGCGAGCAGGGGCTACTCTTCGTTGCAGTGCTCAAGCTTCTCATTGCTCTGGCTTCTCTTGTTGCGGAGCACAGGCTCTAGGTGCGCAGGCTCAGTAGTAGTGGCGTGTGGGCTCAGTAGTTGTGGCTTGTGGGCTCGAGAGTGCAGGCTCAGTAGTTGTGGTGCACGGGCTTAGTTGCTCTGTGGTATGTGGTATCTTCCTGGACCAGGGCTCAAACCCTTGCCCCCTGCATTGGCAGGCAGATTCTTAACCACTGCGCCACCAGGGAAGTCCCCAAAAATACAGATTTCTGTGTATCACATTCAGGTTCTGATTTAATATGTGGAGTTCAGGAATCTGTTTTTATAATCTACCGTAATTATGATGCAGTCAGATTTAGACATCAGTGCTTCTAGAGAATGCCAGTCTGGCCACCTTTTTTTTCTATGAAGGTCATCTTTCTGCCATCACTTTTACTTCACGGGTTATTCACTCTCTTCCTCCCTGCACCCCGCACTCTCTTGATGTGTTCGCCAAGGATATAAGCAGTGCAAAGTGAAGTATTTTATTGAAAACAATGCTGAGCATTAGCAGAAAAAATACCAAGGAAAATTTGTATCAGCAAAAAGACTATAGCTACAGAGTAATGGATTCCTTGGGGGAGTAGAGAGCGAGAATGTGTAATTTTTACGTTGTTCATTTCTTCCTTTGGTATTTTAATGCAGTACAGTAGTTTAGCATAGTCTGTGGACCAGCAGCCTCACCCTAGGTCCTAGGACTTTGTTAAAAAATGCCGATTCATAGACCCAATCCCATACCTGAATCTGAAAGTTTTGGAGGTGGGGGCCCAGCAATCAGCATTTCAACATGTCCTCCAGGTAATTCTAATGCAGGCTAAAGTTTGAGAACCACTCTTTAGCATATAGCTATTCATTCTCTCCTCAGAAACACCTTTCCAGAGGATATCTGTGTACCTTGTTTAACCATCACTCCTTGTTAATATAAAGGATGAGGCTAACTTAGAGTTGGGCACAAATTGAATGCCAGCTCTCCCTTAAGCAAACACTTCTCATCTTTCCCAAGTGGCTTCACTTTGTGGGACTTACTTCAGCTCCTCCTCCTAAGGCTCTAGTCTGCTTAAAAGTTAACCTTCTTTTCATTTTTGCTTCTATCTCCTTACTCCCCTCTACCAGTCTTTTGAGGAATAATTAGGGTGTAGGATCACAAAAATGAAAGAGGATATAAATTCAGTGAAATGTCCTATCTAATATGAAATATAATTCTGCAGTGAAAATCGTTAATTTGGAAAAAACAGCAAACTATTCCTTAAGAAAATTCCATGAAATTAAGGAGGGCATGTGGAATCTTGATTTTTGCGGACTGGGGCTTAAAGAGCTTTGGTGAGTTGCACAAAGTCAATAATTTACACCCAGATCCTCTTGATTCTAGGTCTGTTTCTTTTTATATTCTAAATAACATCTAATGCTATTCCAGCTTTTTCTGTGAGGTTTATGACCTTTTAACTATGAAGAAATGAAGTGAAAAGAAGTGATTATGGGTAATATGCATTGTACTTACTGAGTTGTCTTATACATAGAAAGCATAATTTATAGAGTGTAGCCCATCGTATGTTCATGAATGCAAGCCTCAGATTCTGCTCTTAATTATTTCTTTTGTTGATATAACAGTGTAATGAATCAGTTCGTCTGCTAAGCTTATTCCTTCTCTTGCTACTATTTATAAGCTGAATTGGAGGTGAGGTGAAGGGTTACCTATAGGGACAAACTCTGAGACTGCCAAAAACTTGCAATAGATTCAAGATAATACAAACGGTAACAGTTTTGGAAGCTGAATTTTTCTTGTATTTTTATATCTCTAGTACTATCATAGTCATTTCTGATGAGCCATATTAGGTGAGCAACTGAGATTATGATGCTCATTTATTTGAGGTAAACTTTTCTAGTCACACAAGTACCTGTCTAGTAGAATAGATCATTTATTTGTATTTTATGACTTGAAAAAGTTAAATAGTCATATAATTTAATAGCACTTTATGGTTTATGCATTTTTATTTTATGTGTTTCTTAAGAAAATTCCATGAAATAAGTAGGGCATGTGGAATCCTGATTTTTGCAAACTGAGGTTTAAAGAGCTCTAGTGAGTTATACAAAGTCGATAATTTATCCCCAGATCTTTACAATTCTAGGTCTTTTTGTTTTTATATCAAATTAATATACGTTGTGTGTCATAAATGTTTAATTATATAATCACCTTCTTCCATAATAAGCACGCTTTTAACTTTTGATGGAAATCCTGCAATGTATTCCTTTTTCCTGGGAACATAAAGCATCTTGGATACAATTTAACATCTTTGGTAACTTAGAATCATATGGCCTCTAAGGGACATGATTATGCAGGATCATCTCTGTACACTGCTGTAGAAATATAGGAACTGTATTATTGATCCTGAGTATACCCCTAAGTAAAAGCTGTGTTCATGGATGGGATTGAGGGAATCTCTGAGTGCTCTGAAATTGTATGCGGAATATGGGATGTACGTTCTGGGAGAGGTTCCATCGATTTAGATTAGATTCTCAAAGAGATCCTAAAGAGAACACCAGAAAGATTAACACACTGACCTATATGATTCTTTAAAAATAATTCTTTTTTGGGGGAGGGTGGGATTGGGTCTCTTTTATAGGTAAAATAGAGATAGAAGTGCCTATGGAATGAGGATTGTGTTAGTGATATTTGGCTTTTCTAAGTACAGCTGTTAAATGAGAAGGGAAAATGCTTAATGATGTAAAAGGATTTTATTAGAGTCTTAATCACCAGGGTTTCTTTTTAAATTCTAATCTCTCAACTTAAATGACTTTCCCAGGAATATTTAGTGACATTCATTTGCTGGCTATGATGTACAGTGGAGAAATGTGTTATTGGGGATTGAAGCATTGTGCAGATCAACAGCCAGAAAATCATGAAGTGGATACTGGTGTTTCTGGAGCAAGCTACACTACACACAAAGAACCTTTGGATTTCCGAGAAGTAGGAGAAAAAATTTTGAAAAAGTATGTATCTGTGTGCGAAGGACCCCTGAAAGAGCAAGAATGGAATACAACAAATGCAAAACAAATTTTAAACTTCTTTCAGCATCACACTAACTAGTAAGTTCATCTACTTCTTTTCAAACAGGAAAAAAAAAAGGCTCAGGAAATGGAAGTTCCAGAAAAGAAGACATATTGATACTGAATTTAGGAACATTACACTACATAAAGATAGCATGGTTATTACCCCTTTTTAAATGCCATCACCATCTTTCACTATATATTCTTTTTATTTAAAAAAAAAAAAAAGATTTTTTTTGATGTGGACCATTTTTAAAGTCTTTACTGAATTTATTACATTATTGCTTCTGTTTTATGTTTTGGTTTTTTGGCCGTGAGCCATGTGGGATCTTGGCTCCCCGACCAGGGATCGAACCTGCACCCCCTTCATTGGAAGGCAGAGTCTTAACCGCTGGACCACCAGGGAAGTCCCTCACTATATATTCTTAAACCTGTGAAGGAATGATTCTTTAATATCTAAAATGGCATTTATGTTATTCTAACTCACTCTGAACTACAGATATCCTGTAACTAATACTAAGGAGAAATCCAATTTATCTCTATAAAGAGTTTTTTTCTATTACTTTAGATTTTTTTTTTATTGTGGTACAATATACATAACATAAAATTGAACATTTTAACTGTTTTTAGATTATTTTTTAATCTCCCTGTCTTGAAGTTTGCTGCACTTCAGAGATTAAAATCAAGTCCCCTCTTTGCTTTGTATATATGCTATAGATATAAAAATTGGCAAAATGAAAAATTGTGACCAACATCCATGTACCATTTCCAGACTAAGATAAATAATGAAAGACTCCACAAAAGAATTTTTGTTTGTTTCACCACGTACTACTAATGGCATTTAAAATTTTTAGTCTATTAGGCATTTTATAAAAATTTCAAAATGATTTTCCTATTTTGTTTAAAAGAATATGCACGGTTTATTAAATGAGTAATGAAGATAAAACCAAGTTAGGTTAGTCTGCCATTAGTCTTATGTCTTTAGAGCACATCTTTTCATGTTTTGAAATTTTAATAGTTTTTGTCTTTAATTGTAGGGGTGAGTGTTAAAGGCCAAGAGCCCCACCTGGTATCTTGCTGATAGTCTTTCTGTCTACCTCAGTTTCTGTTGTCGTCTTGGGATGATCTGTCTGATACCTTGCCAATATCCTTCACCTCTGGGCCGTTGACTTCATCACATTCCAGGAACTTAACTCCCACGGCCTCAACATGAATATCACCATCCTGAGTTTCTCTTTCTGAAATCTTAAATTTCAATAGCTAGTGACATTCTTATCTTTCCAGTTTTTTACTTCCTCATTTTGATTGATTCTTCTCTCTCTTATTTCTTTTGTATCTCTTGAGCCTTCCTCATAGCCTCCTCCTCTTGCTGCCCCCTTTTCTCCTCACCATCAGCCTCTTTCAGATTTTCTTCCTTCCCTGTCCAGCCTTGGCCTTATGGGGCACCATATGACGTGCTCTCTGCAGTCCCTTCAAATCCATCTTCCCCTTTATAAAATGAGTAATGAAGATAAAACCAAGTTAGGTTAGTCTGCCATTAGTCTTATGTCTTTAGAGCACATCTTTTCATGTTTTGAAATTTTAATAGTTTTTGTCTTTAATTGTAGGGGTGAGTGTTAAAGGCCAAGAGCCCCACCTGGTATCTTGCTGATAGTCTTTCTGTCTACCTCAGTTTCTGTTGTCGTCTTGGGATGATCTGTCTGATACCTTGCCAATATCCTTCACCTCTGGGCCGTTGACTTCATCACATTCCAGGAACTTAACTCCCACGGCCTCAACATGAATATCACCATCCTGAGTTTCTCTTTCTGAAATCTTAAATTTCAATAGCTAGTGACATTCTTATCTTTCCAGTTTTTTACTTCCTCATTTTGATTGATTCTTCTCTCTCTTATTTCTTTTGTATCTCTTGAGCCTTCCTCATAGCCTCCTCCTCTTGCTGCCCCCTTTTCTCCTCACCATCAGCCTCTTTCAGATTTTCTTCCTTCCCTGTCCAGCCTTGGCCTTATGGGGCACCATATGACGTGCTCTCTGCAGTCCCTTCAAATCCATCTTCCCCTGGTCTTTCAGCCTAATCATTCTGCAGTCCCTCAACATTGAATTAATCCTATCGTTCCACCTTCTTTTTTTGGGATGCTGAGTTCCATGTGAAGTTCCTGCAGCTTCTTCAAAGTGGAATCACTCTAAGTATCTTGCCTTCAGCTTTAGAAGAGCCCTCAGTGTAAGCCTTGCGTCTGTTACTAGTGTGGCCCCTGTCCCTTTCCCACTGTGGCTAATCCAAACCTCTAACTTGCCTCATCACGCTCCTCTGGCCCTTTGTCCCCTCCCCTAGCGCATGGCTGTTGGTCCTGTCTTAAAGAAAATAGAGACTATGAGGAGGTCAGTGTTTATTCACCCATTTTGCCCTGCTCATGTCCCCCCTTTGAGGAGGAAAAGAGGTATCCTGCTTCGTGTTGAAGACTAGTCTCCACGTTTCCTCTCTGCCGGCTCCCTCATTCCCCCGAGGCTTCTCTTTTTTCTGCCAATATCCTGTACGTATTGCTCTTTTCCAGAATACTGTTTTTTTCTTTTTCCTCCCTCTTCTCCCATTTTTCCTTCCTTTCTTCCTTTCTCCCTTTTTTCTTTTTTACTTACTCTAATTACAGTTGACCCTTGAACAACACAGGTTTGAACTACGTGGGTCTACTTATACGTGGGGTTTTTTTCAGTAGTAAATACTACAGTACTACACAGTCAGTGGTTGGTTGCATCTCTGGATACAGAGGAATTGCAGATATGGAGGGCTGACTAAAAGTTATATGCAGTTTTTTTTTTGTTTTTTTTTTTTCTGGTACGCGGGCCTCTCACTGTTGTGGCCTCTCCCGTTGCGGAGCACAGGCTCCGGACACACAGGCTCAGCAGTCATGGCTCACGGGCCCAGCAGCTTCACGGCATGTGGGATCCTCCCGGACCGGGGCACGAACCCACGTCCTCTGCATCGGCAGGCGGACTGTCAACCATTGCGCCACCAGGGAAGCCCTATATGCAGATTTTTGACTGCCAGGAGGATTGCACCCCTAACTCTGTCATTGTTCAAGGGTCAACTGTGCATTTATGTGATGTTATTGATAGCCACAGCTTCTATCACCTGTAATGCTAGGCTGACTCCCAAACCTGTAGCTTGAAACCCAGCTTCTGCTTTCTAAACCTCCTTTCTAACTGCCTATTAAATATCTTCACTTAGACATCCCATAGTAATTTTAAATTCGATATGTTCAAACAACTAATCCTTACTTTTCATCTAAAATCTTTTCCGGTTCATGTTTTCTCTTTTTTTGATCTTCCACGAAGCAGGGCAACACAGAATGCTGTAACCTACTTCTGCCTACCTTGCCAGCCACATCTCTGCAGCTCTTCCTGTGTGATCATTTTCTAGTCCAGTTCCTTAGGCTCATTTTTGATCAACATTCTGATGGAGCTGCTTGGGACAAGGAGAGTCTCTCCCTATCTCTGCCTTTGTCTCCTTGTTTATCCTTACACAGCTAAGAAGATTTTTATTTAACTTAGCTTTTACAAGTTTTGCTACGAAAATAACCTTTGTGCTTTCTAAGTATAAAGGTTTAAATCACTGACTGCCCACCCTCACCCCACCATTTTTGGAGAATCACGATCAATCACAAGTATACTAGTTCCTTCCCCAATGTGCTGTGTGTATTTTTTCCTCAATATCCTCATTACTTCTGGCTGGAACACTTTGCCCTTCTTTGTAGTCAAGTGAATACCTATTTATCCTTTAGGACTCAGCTCCAGTGATATTGGATCCATAAGGCTTTTTCCAGCCCTTTTCAGTCCAAGTTACATGTCACTCTGCTTCTGCTCCCTGAAACTTCCCCAACCCATGTTATCACACTGATCACATTGCTTTATAGTCATTTTTATGAGTTGGCAAACTCCATATTTTAAAAATTTATCTTTATGCATAGTGCTTAATGAATAGTAGGCCCTTAGTAATGTTTTTTGAATTCATAAGAGGCATGATTCTTAAGTGCTGAAGTCTGCCACAAAAGGGTTACTGCTCTTGGATCCCAAACTGCCCTGACCTCTGTACCAGTGGTTGACAAGGCCAAGAGGGAATTACTCCTCAGAAGAGTAAAGTATCATTTAGATCTAGAACCAGAGAAAAGTAGAGAGCTTTCTCTTCAGAAGCTGGGAACTCCATTTTGTCTTCATGACCCTGTGAACCACTTGGGTCTCTCACTGGTTGGTACAATAATGGGGCTACTGTTGGGTGCTTTTTGTACAACTTTTTCATCCCCCACACAATTGGAGAATAATTTGTAGACCATAACAGTTATAATGCTTTTTACTGTGATGTATTACAAAACAATGGACAGTACATTTTTGTATGTGTTAAAGCCTGCTATGTAAATTGTTTCATTTAGAATGGATTAACTTCAAAATACCAAATACTCCACATAAGAAAAGTACTATAATTACTGTAATTCACTCATCAACAACTATTATGTGCCTATTACATGCTAGGTTTTATCCTAGGCACTGAGTATATAGCTTTGTAAAACACCAGAGTTTGTTTTCTAGTGGAGGAAGTTAACGCATTTTAAGAAATACATGTGTAGCTTGGTGAGTGATGAGTGCTATGAAGAATAAAGCAGGGCATGGGGCTAGTGTGACTCAAGAGGGGTGCTGTTTTATTTAGGGTGGTTGGGAAGGCACCTGTAAGCACCTGTCCACTTCAGCATTTGGGTCTACCCCTCTGGTTGAATACTGTTCAGTGTGCCATTGCACATTCAGTATATTCATGAAGTTTCTCTTTCTTATGGAAGTTTTGATGCTGAATTAAACAATGAATCACTACCTAAGAACTTCTCATTTTGATCCCATTTAAAGGGTTTCTCTCCAGTGTGGCCCTTACTAATGGGTAAGTGATAACCTAAAGACCTTGTAGCATTTATTACACTTGCAGTTTCTCTCCATTTTGAACTCTTTGATGGTTACTAAAACTTAAACTCTGTTAAAGGATTTTTCATAATCCTTAAATTTGTATGGTTCTTTTCCATTATGAATTTTCTCATGTTATCTAGGCTTTGAGACTTAGTTAAAGGCTTGTCTGCTTTGCTGCATTTATAGGGTTTCTGGCTACTGTGAATTGTTTGATGCTGATTAAGGTGCAGATCATGAGTGAAGACTTTCCCTTACTTGTTTGCATACAGTAGAGTGAGGTGAGAGTCATTGGCTAAAACCCCACAATGAAATTTACATTCCTGCCTTTACAGTCAGTCCCACTGGGAATTCTCTGATGTTCATTAAAGTGGGAGATTCATTTTAATGCCATTTTTTAAAAACCCACAGCTGGCTTATATGCTAGTTTTAGATTGCTTGTCACTTTTCTCTCTCCACCTTCCAGGGCTCCTTTTCTGACTCGCATAAGGATACCCCTTCTACCACAGAATACAGGATTCCATAGTTCTCTAGTATCACCTCCTTGTATTATTTTTTTTTAACACAATATGAGCTATCATGGAAGTATTACATTAACATACATTTAATGTATCCACAGTTAAAATATGCATTATGTATTCGTGCTGCTGTTCCTTACTGTTTTTTATTTTCCTACTTCTAGTGAAAATTTCCAAGTTAAATGTTTTGGAGCATATAAAATTAAAAAAAAATAAAACCATAGTCCCATATTTGTATCTTTGTTTTCTTTTATATCTGAGTGTTGTGTCAGAATGAAAACTTTTATCATGTTAGTTTACGATTTATAATCAAGCAGGACCCTATGGGGCCTTTCTGGGACAGATTCCTCCCCTCCCCCCATGTCCTCCACCTGCCTCTTGTTTATAGAAAAACTTTAGCCTCCTAGGCTTTCCCCAAGTTCCAAAAATAAATTTAATCAGAGAAGTGAGAAAATGCAGAAACAAAGGAAAACAGTCAAACAGGACAAAATAATAATGGTTTAACCATTAAACAAAGTCAAGGACCTTTCGTTCCTCCTGAAGGGTTATAGATAATATTCTGAGCCATATACCCTTAGAGCTGTTTTGCAAATACTGAAAATCCCACCAGGTGGAAGAAGTTAACTATATGCTGCCCACAAGCACATAGACTCCAGACTGGTTGGAACCAGAAGGTTGATGATGCTGACTCCTGATTACCTCACCACCAACCAATCAGGAGTGTCCATGAGCTGACCATGCACCCCGCAACCCTCTCCCTCACCCTGTCTTTAAAAACCTTTCTCTGAAAGCCGTCAGAGAATTTGGGTCTTTTGAGCATTATCTGTGCATGCTCCTTGTTTGGCGCCTGAGGTAGATGCTGCACTTACCTTCACCACAACCTAGTGTCAATAGATTGGCTTTACTGCATAAGGGCAAATGGACCCAAGTTTGGTTTGGTAACATATTGACGATATTATTTCTTCTGGTCCTGATAACTTTCAGACAGGGTGGTTTAGTGGTTAGGAATATGGGTAGAGGCCTGATTAAATCCCAGCTCTCTTGTTTCCTAGCTGTGTGATTCCATATAAATTATTTAACCTTTCTGTGCCTTAGCATTTTATTAACACAGGAATAATAATATCTACTTCACGGGTTATTGAAGAATAAATGAGTTAATATTCAGAGTGCTTAGTTCAATGCCTAGCACATGGTAAGAGCTCAAAAGTTATTTTCCTTAATGGCCAGTTCTATGTATTGGCACACCTCACTCATCATGCTAAAAAATACCATAATACTCATGAACCAGAATAATTGAGTGACAAACTCTTGTTCTGACCAGTGAGCACTCACTGCCCTTTGCTCAGTACAAGTGGTGGTGGCCATTCTAAATGGGAAGAAGTTTTCACAGAAGAAATCACTGGCTGTATAGGCATCTTAAATGTTTGTAATAAGTGTGGCTGGGAGAAAAACTACAATTCATTTTCAGAAGTTTTCAGCCTCAGACTCCAAATGTATATATACCTGCTGTATACGAACTTCCACATTTACCAATCAGCTTGACTGACTGGGCTTCTGGTCTCACTCTTACCTTTTGGTCTCTTATCTCACAAGTCAGATGCATTTAATTAATATTAGTCATCTAAATATTATGGATACCCTATTTAAAAATAGATTAAACTGGTAAATCCACATGATTGAGTAGCATGTAGCTTTAAAAACCAAAGAGGAATATTTCTGTAAAATGCTATGGAGTGGCCATATTAAGTGAAAAACAAGGTGGAGAAGGTGTATAGTACTATTTATTTAAGAAAGAGTATAAATGTGTGTAATAATCTTGTTTGCTTATATTTAAAAAAAAAACTTTAAAAAAATGGTTACCTATGGTGGAAGTGGGAGATGGGGGCAGAGGAACCAGTTGGAGGGGATCAGGATGGAAACTAGACTTCTCTGAATATATGCTGAACTTTGTATTTTTTACATCAGAATGAAAGAAAACCCCTAAAAATCCAAAGCAAAATGAAACAAATGAGCTGTAATTATGTAGCAAGTTGGTGGCTTCAACACACAGGAATGTATCAGTTATCTTTAAAGCACAAGCTTTTCACACCCCTAGTGGGATATCCCCAAGGGCAAAAGGAGCTGGAAAGAAATCAAACTCCTCGGTACTTATATTGTTAATAACTATGAAAATCAGAAATGTATTGAGGATTTTCAGTGTAAGAGAAAAGAGACATGAAACTGAATAAGGTAAGTAAAAATTCTGTAATTCTAAATTTGAATGGGAAATAACAGTATGAAGACCATTAAATAATGTCTAAATACCATTACCCATTAAAACGAACTAGGGCTCCTTAGAGATAAGGCCGATGCAGATCTTGGGCAGGGCAGTCAAATGGTTGATGAGGGACAATTTTTCTTTAATTCATCTAATAAAAGGAATTACAAAATTTGAAAAGCAACATTTTGCACCTTCTAAACAAAAAACAATCATTGGTAACTAGAATCTTAGCTAGTAAATACAGTTTATTTCATTTTATTATTCACTCATATTCCTATATATATATGTATTCAAATTTTTCCATAATAAAAAATTATTTGAACACATTATTTTACAAATGTCTCTTTCTAAGAAAGCTTAGAACCATTTCAGTACTTCATACTTAAACTGATTTTTTTTTTTCTTGTGTTAGTTCTTTCTTGTTCCTAGAGACGTAGGAGAAATGCCAATTAATTCATGGCTCTTTTTCTGGTCTGGACAGCCTCACAGAACTAAGCCTTCAGTTGGGTTGGTTATTGGCCCCTGGCAATGGCATGCAAGATAAATAATGAAACTAAATTCAGATCTCACAGAACCTCAGTTATTGGGCTTTATTGAGTTTCTGTTATTTGACATTTAGATCCCCAGATATTTACTTTTGAAGTGCAAATACAAACCGATAAGCCCTGTGTCCGTTAAGCATTATGGCACTCTGCTATGTGGAATATAGATAAAATATGGATATAGATACAGATAGGGAGAGAGAGGCAGAGAGGTGAATATATATTATGTTAAATATATGTATGTCTTTAAATATTTGTACATACACACAAGGTATGTATATGTTCCCTGTAGCCTATCATGATCCTTAAAGACCTGAATGGTTTTATGAAGTTGCTGATCCTGTCTTCTATTTTGAAGACTATTAAAAAATGGGATTAATTTCCCACTCTTAGACATATATCTGGACAAAACTAAAATTCAAAAAATACTGCACTCCTATGTTCATAGTAGCACTATTCACAATAGCCAAGACATGGAAACAACCTAAATGTCCATTGGCAGATGAATGGATAAATAAGATGTGGTACATATATATACAATGGAATATTACTCAGCCATAAAAAAGAATAATGCCATTTGCAGCAACATGGATGGACCTATAGATTACCATACTAAGTGAAGTAAGTCAGGGAAAGACAAATACCATAAAGATACCACTTATATGTGGAATCTAAAATATGACACAAATGAACATATCTACAAAACAGAAACACTCAGACACAGAGAACAGACTTGTGGTTGCCAAGGCGTGGGGGAGGGATGGAGTGGGAGTTCTGGGTTAGCAGATGCAAACTATTATATATAGAATGGATAAACAACAAGGTCCTACTGAACCGCACAGGGAACTATATTCAATAGCCTGTGCTAAACCATAATAGAAAAGAATATAAAAAAGAATGTATATATGTATAATTGAATCAGTTTGCTGTCTAGCAGAAATTAACACAACACTGTAAATCAACTATGCATAAATAAAAAAGTTGCAACAACAAAAAATAGATTAATTTTTTTAAATGGGTGATTTGGGTAATATGTGAGAGAAGATTTTGACAATTGACATAAGACAATGGTGGACGGAGGCTGATTCCGAAATTTAGAAATTTCCATATTTGAATATTCTCACGAAGAGAAGGGATAGCTGCATGGCCTGGAAATTGCACTCAAGTGCTGGTTGACAGTTTAAACCAGATTACGTAGAGATACTTAGCCCCAGATAGTGGAAGAGGGCCACCATCTTTTGCGTAAGTAAGAGTCTCCCAGACCCAGGCAAAGTGGAAATGGGACCCACCTTGGGTGAAGTAACGAAGTTATAAAGGGTCAAAGGGCGAGAGATTTTATACCAACGGGTGAGGTCAGCGCGCCTAAGGTTGAGGCGTGGAGTGAGGGGAGCAGTGATTGTCGGCTGGAACCTCAAGCTCAACTGGGAACCACGCTCAATCGGGCCATCTCTCAGTACTGTCCCCGTCTCTGGAAGCCTCTCCACCGGGGGTGCGGGGACTTGGGGGGATGGAGGCGGCAACGGGGGGTGGGGGAAGGGAGGGAGCGGAGGCGGGGCGGGGCGGGGAGCAGGGGACGGACACGCCGGCGTCATCTTGCGGCGCGTCACGTGCGGCGTCGGCAGCCATGGCGGGAAGCGAGCCGCGCAGCGGAGGCGTCACTCCTCAGCCTCACCACAGCGACTGGGGCCGCCTGGAGGCTGCCATCCTCAGCGGCTGGAGGAACTTCTGGCAGTCGGTGGGCAAGGAGAGGGCGGCTCCGAGGTCCTCCCCGGAGGAGGCGGACGAGAAGGCCAGCTCGCTAACGCGGCTGCCGGTGAGCGTCGGCCGCCACCCGCGGAGGACCGCGGGCCGGGCCGGGAGGGGCGCTCGCCGGGGCGGCCTCTGGGGACCGCGGCGTGGGGGGGAGCCTCCCTGGGCTCGGCCTGTGTCTGGCCCCGTCCCTGCAGCCATTCCGGGCAGTGTCGTCACCTGGGGGCAGCAGTTGAGCAGAAACGCCTTGGCGTTGACACGTGGTGCCCCGCAGCTGGGCCGAAGGTCGCCCCTAAACTCACCTGCGGGTTGTGCCCTGGCAACCAGCCAGGTCACCCTCCGGTCTTCTACCCCCAAAACAGGTCTGGGGACTGGGGCACCCTGAACATCAGGTTAAGGAAACGCGGAGACCATGCCAGACGTTCTGGAAATCGTGGAAAGCGTCCAGTGTCTGGTGTTCTCAGCATCTATCATCCCAGCTTCCGTGTACCGAAACACCTGGCGGTCCCGCAAAACACACTCTCTCCTAGGATTTTGCGACTGTTACCTTACCTGTATTTCAAGTGACAAAACAATTGAAAGTAAATGACTAGGGATTTCCCTGGCGGTCCAGTGGTTAAGACTTCACTTTCCACTGCAGGGGGTGCAGGTGGATCCCTGGTGGGGAGCTAAGATCCCACGTGCCTCTGGCCAAAAAACCAAAACATAAAACAGAAGCAGTATGGTAACAAATTCAATAAAGACTTTAAATATGGTACACATCAAAAAAAAAATCTTAAAAAAATGCGGGAAAGTAAATGACTTAAGTTACAAGGGCCTCAAGTTACAGCAGGCCACGAGAATTACACACATTTTTCATTGTTAAACTTTTCAGGTAGATAGGAAAACGGAGAGAGGAGAATTTCTTAGAAATTATTAAAATGCTGTATCTCAGCTGGACTGTTGACTCTGAGGTCCATCAGAAATTAAAAAACTGCAGGCTTAGGTTGCCTCCATGGTTCTCCTTGCAGAGGTTCTCTGAAATAACAGATTTTACAGAAGAACTCAGGTGACAGATTTACTCTTTGATTTGATGTAATGATAAAGTCAGAAGTTTGTCCTCTTGATAAAGATTTTATTTTGAAGAATAAATTATTTCATTAAGCAGTTCATTCAAATAAATGGTGGAGCAGAATATCCATAAGGAAAAATTAAATGAAGTGCTTATTTTACTTGAAAAATACCAGAACAATGGGAGGTATTTCAGGAATGTTTCAATGTGTCAAAAATGAAATATTCATTATGATTCTGTCCTGAGACAGGAAATAACTTCAGCATGATAGATTTCATCATTAAAAATAATGCCTGTTGAATTCCCTGGTGGTCCAGTGGTTAAGACTGCTTCCACTGCAAGGGGCACAGGCTCCATCCGTGGTCAGGGAAGTTCCACATGCCGCTGCAAAAAAAGAAAAAAAGACTGTTAAGTTGATTTTTTGTTATTTAGTATAAAAACTGTTAATTTTGTCATTTATCATGATAGATTTAATTATTCAAATGATACACTGTTCAGTTGACCTTTGGTTTCCTAGTATAATATAATTATTTGTAATTTATTATTTATTTTTTTAATATAAATTTATTTAGTTTTGGCTGCATTGGGTCTTCGTTGCTGTGCCTGGGCTTTCTCTAGTTGTGGTGAGCGGGGGCTACTCTTCATTGAGGTGCACGCGCTTCTCATTGCGGTGGCTTCTCCTGTTGCGGAGCACGGGCTCTAGGAGTGACGGCTTCAGTAGTTGTGGCTCGCAGGCTCTAGAGCGCAGGCTCAGTAGTTGTAGTGCACGGGCTTGGTTGCCCCGCGGCATGTGGCATCTTCCTGGACCAGGGCTCGAACCCGTGTTCCCAGCATTGGCAGGCGGATTCTTAACCACTGCACCAACAGGGAAGTCCCTGTAATTTATTATTTTTAAAAGTCTCTGTAATGTATTATTTAAAAAAACTTTTTACCAAGATAAATTATTCATCCCTTTAACCTACTTGCTGCTTCCCTCTGTTTCAGATTGATGTACAGCTATATATTTTGTCATTTCTTTCACCTCATGATCTATGTCATTTGGGAAGTACAAGTCATTATTGGAATGAAACTGTACGAGATGCAATTCTGTGGAGATATTTTCTGTTGCGGGATCTTCCTTCTTGGTCTTCTGTTGACTGGAAGTCTCTTCCAGATCTAGAAATCTTAAAAAAGCCTATATCTGAGGTCACTGATGGTGCATTTTTTGACTACATGGCAGTGTAAGTATCTAGTTTTACGAATTAAAAAGAAGATATTAAATTTGACTATATTACAAGTCAGTAGTCTAAGTTAGTCTTGGCCCTCCTACTAATTTGTTGCATGAATTTTGAGTCTGAGTGTCCTTTTGTAAAAATTGGGGGTTAGGTAAAATAACTTCCTTCATAGAACCCTTTTAGCATTCACATTTTGTTATTTCCCTGTAGTACCTAAGTAGAGTATTTGAATAATTATAGATAGTTTATATGGCAAGAAGTAAAACACTTCTTAAAATTTTCATTATCTTTAGAACACTTGTCATTTTGTTAAAATAAATACTTTTCCATGTCCAGAGAAGGAAAGGCCAGAGTTCAGACAGGAGTTCTTTTGCATGGAAGAAAACCATTCTTAAGTTTCTGGGAAATAAGCTTTTGTTATCACCCAAATGCATTGACATTTTCGAATATCATGTATTAGAGAGAATTTTGTTGAGCAACTATAGTGTATTGGATTCTATGATGGATGTTTTATGTATGTTTACTTATTTAATTCTCACGCAATAAGAAGGTATTTTCCTTGTGTTACGGATGTGGAATGAAGGTTCTGCATGGTTATGGATTTGTCAAAGGTCGTATAATTTGTAAAGGACTGTAATGTCGTTAGTTCTGGATATAACCTGTTTTATTAAGAGCCCCAAATTTAAGGCATTGTAAGTAAAATTTAAAGAATATTTGTGCGTTAGGTAAGAATTGTTTTCCTGTGGTAGATTTAATAGCTACATGTGGGACTTTTTTTCATATTTTAAGTTATTCAGAATCTTTCCTTATTCCAATACAGATGGCATTACATCAAGTCTTGTGAGACTACTTGATTAAAATATACATGTATGTAATTTTAACAAGTGCTACTGTACTCTCACTTGCTAGTGTTACCTCTTCATTGTCCCACAGCCAACCATAACATCAAGTCAAGTGTTTCTGTGTGCTGTGGAACCACGTTTTCCTAGGGATAGTAATAATCGTAATAACGACCATTTGTGATCATATAAATTATTTCTGATCCTTACGACCCTGGATTGATTGTTATTGTTCAAATAATGCAGATGAAAAAACTGAAGTTTAGACTATAAGTGGCTTATATGACTAATTAAAGTGGTGAGGCTTGGCCAGATCTACATAGCTGCAAAGTTGATTTTTTTTTCCTTCTTGAATTACAAGGTTCCTAAGTAAAGATGATTGTCATGTAACGTTAGTTGTTGTCTTAACCAGCTCGATTTAAAGGGCTTTAGGTTTTATTTTGATTTGAGTAACTTTGTTTTAATTTTTGATAACATGTTGAATTTCTAGTTTAGAAATTTATAGCTATTGAAAAAGTTGAGTCGTTTCTTTCACATGATTCTTAGTTTGCCAGGTTACCTATAAGGAACATTTGAGCTGCCCTGTGATTAATACTTATTGAACTGTTACTGTTAATAGAAGTACCCTAAGAAATTTGGTTATATTGGTAGCTTTAGTAATTTCTTTTTTATCTCTAGGGACATTTATACTAACTATGTAGTTTATGTTTAGTACAGGGTTTCTCAGTCTTGGCACTATTGACATTTTGGACCAGATGTTATGGGAACTGTCTTTTGTGTGCATTGTACGATGTTTAACAGCATCCCTGGACTCTAGACCTTAGGAAATGTTCCTTGGGGTTGCAAAATCTCCCCAGGTTGAGAATCACTGCTTTATGTAGTGAATTTTAAGCATTGAAACACGTGTTAGACCAAGTGTTTCATGAGAGAATCTAAATGAAAAACTAGAAAGTAAGTAACTGATTCCCAAGGAAGACCTCCTCAGCTACTAGACCACTACTACTCCCATAGCATCTTGTGCTTTTTTCTGTCATGGAACTCGGCATACGTATTATAATGGTGCCTCTCCTCCACTGCCCTCCATGAGGATTGGGACTGTATAATCATTATATCCCTTTTGTCTAGCAAGTTCTCAATACATTATATATTGTTGAATGAATAACTGGCTAAGTAAGTGTTTGTGTTAATTTTCTAATTGTGACAATTTTATACAGCTATAAAATGTGCTGTCCATATACAAGAAGAGCCTCAAAATCTAGCCGTCCTATGTATGGAGCTGTCACCTCATTTTTACACTCATTGATCATTCAGAATGAACCACGATTTGCCATGTTTGGACCAGGTTTGGAAGAACTAAATACATCTTTGGTGTTGAGCTTGATGTCTTCCGAGGAGCTTTGCCCAACAGCTGGTTTGCCTCAGAGGCAGATTGATGGTAATTTTCGTGTTAATCTACAGTACATAATAATTCAAACACTTTGAGCTTGACTCTAATGTTAAATAGAAAGAAATTAGTTTTTAAATTAATTAACTCTTTGTTGTAATGAAATATACTAATTTGGTGCATGGGAGCCCTCAGGTCTCTATGGACTGAAAGAGTTAATTTACTTTTTATAAGAGGTAAGCTTTCTCTTACTTTCTCAGTCCAGAATATGAGATTATGTGAAAGCAAATTGTATGTTGTCAAAATGTTATATTTGTTTGCTATAAAGCAGAAACTAACACACCACTGTAAAGCAATTATACTCCAATAAAGATGTTATAAAAAAAGTTATATTTGTACATTTACCATATTTTAAAAGAATGTTAACAGCAAAATCCATTCAGCACCTACTATATGCAAAGTACTTTGATATATATTGGAATTTCAAAAAAGAGCTAAATTATCACCTTACCTTTATTTCTATGATAAACAATAGCAACAACAGCCATGGAGTTAGTTTCGTAAGCAGGATGTATAATAAACATGCATAACAGTGTAAACTAGCTTGTGCTTTACTTATTCATTTATTGAGAGTACCCATTAGATACTAAAGATGCAGAGATTTAAAACAAACAACATCAAAAATCTCCTGTTTGCCCTGAAAGGTACTTGGTCTAAAGGAGGGCAGAGACATGTATACAGGTGATTAGAATGTGGTGTAATTAGCTCCTGTGTAGAAAAGTAAGGGTCAGAGAAGGCTCTGCATTGAATCTGATGCCTTACATGAGTCAATAGGATAAGTAGGGGTAGGCCATCAAAAAAAAGGGTAAAATATTCTAAGCAGTGAGAACTACATTTCTAAAATCCCAAAGTTCTGAGTGTGCATGACACACTTGAAGTAGCTCTGTGTGTCCAGAGTGGGGCCAGGTGAGAAGACGCTTGTATGTCAAGCATTTGTTGAAGGATTTTAAGCAGAGAAGTAAGATGATCAAGATGGCATTTTGGATAGATCACTCTGGCTCCTGAGTGGAGACTTGATTAGAAGTTAAGAAACCACTACAATATTGTGATAAAAATATGAAGGATATAGAATTGACTCAATGTGTGTTAGCAGTAATACGGATAATTCCTGGTTTTTGGTCTGATTTTCATATTGGATGATGGTGCCATTCACTAGGTTAAGGAAACACAGGAGGAAGAGAAACTTTTGATACAAGTAGAGATGCCTGCTATAAGCTAGCCACTTGAATGGAAGCTCCATTAGGGCAGAAAACTTGTCAGTTTTATTCTTAGCTGTTGTGCCAGGCACATAGTAGGCATTCAATGTACATTTGATGAGTGAATGAACGAATGACTTTATGGATTACTTTATGCATCCATATCTCAAGAGAAAGATCTGGGCTAGAAATGAAGATTTGGGAATCATATGAAGTCCACATGGACTTGGAAGTTTCTGAGGATAGAGAGGAATATTGTGAGCCAGGTGCTGAAATCATCAGTGAACGTTTGGAGGAAGGGATTATCAAAAGGAGATTCATAAATGACAAGGTTAAGGACAGGAGATGGTATTACAGCTAAATGGTGTGCGTGTCTCAGAGAGATGGAGTTTTTTCAAGAGGGTTGGTGAGTAATGGTTAAGACATGGCATTGAGGAGTAAAGAGACCATTCACCTCATCTCTTTACCCTGAGATGTGAGAGAATAGGTAACTTTGTTACTTGAGACCCCACTGTTAAGTGGCACCTAGGGACAGGCTAGTTTCAGGTAGGGCCATGAGGTGGAAGGAACCCTTCAAGAAGAGGTTGGGGATATGGGGAAATTTGCTGATTGTGAAATGGCAATTTCATTCTCCAGACAGCAGCTGGAGTGATTGTTTGAAATTGCCCATCTAATTGTGCCTCAGACCCTGCAAGGTCACGGAAGAGTGGAGGGATGAATCATTGGCAAGGTGGGGCAAAACAACATGAGAATCATACTGGGCTGAGGTTAGATGTGTTGAGAGGGTAATTTCTGGAAGTTAAACTGATGTAAACAAAGATTAGAGACATGGTAGAATTTGTTTCTGTGATCTCTCTGGGGAGGCCCCTGGTGGCGGGAGGACTAGGGCCACTTTGCCTGGGATGCTTGCAGTCCCAGCCACCAAGATCTCTATATATGTGTTGCCCAGAATGGTGACATAAGATGGCACGGCATAGCTGCTTTAAATACCTAGAGTGGTTATGCAGGGATTAAGGATATGAAAGATGGAGTTGTCCTAATGAGGTAAGTAGAGGCCAGATTATATTAAAATTTTGTTTATCTGAAGAGCAGGGTCTTTGAAGGGAAGAGATGTAATTAAAAGCATTTTAAAGCAATCTCTCCAGCTGCTGTCATAAGAATGGATAGTAAGGGGCAGAAGTGGATTTAGGAGACTAGTTAGAAATGATTACATAAGTCCAGGTGAGAGATAATAATTTAAACTAAAAGGTGGGGGTGAGGATGGAGAGAAGTAGACAGATCTAAGAGGACATTTATATAGCAAAAAGAGGTAAAGCCAAGGAAGAGGAAAAGGATCTTTCCAGGAGGCAAGAGGAGAATCAGCCCCGTAGTGTTAACACAGCCAAAGGAGGGAAGGAGTTAAGAAAGAAGGACAAATGACAATGTTGAATGATTTAGATATAAAATAGTAAGAAGCTAGTGTTTAGCACCTGTTACTTACCAGTCACTCCGTAGGTGTTTTACATATGTGATCTCATTTAATGCTTACAATAACCCTAAAAAGTGTGTATTATTTCTATATTTTGATGTCAAAGCAGGCTCACAGAAACATGGGCATATGTGGCAAATTCAGGATTCTAGCCCAAGTCCCATTCAAAATTTCAGTGTCTGCCATATTTCCTCAGTTTTCTAAGGTGCCATGAATTTAAAAACAGCTTTTCAGAGTGGGGAAAAAAAGCCATTTGGTTGAATGTGTACGTGGAGTGTAAGACTAATGAGAAACATAAAAGAAGTGAAACTAAGCCTTAGTCTTGAGGATAAATAGTAGTAGCTGTTACGATGCAGCTGCTACTGAGAGGATGATGATAAAGTTAATGATGATAGTGATGATGGTATAAAAAGGAATGTTAGGGCTTCCCTGGTGGCGCAGTGGTTGAGAGTCCGCCTGCCGATGCAGGGGACACGGGTTCGTGCCCCGGTCTGGGAGGATCCCACGTGCCGCGGAGCGGCTGGGCCCGTGAGCCATGGCCGCTGAGCCTGCGCGTCCGGAGCCTGTGCTCCGCAGCGGGAGAGGCCGGGAGAGGCCGCAGCAGTGGGAGGCCCGCGTACCGCAAAAAAAAAAAAAAAAAAAAAAAAGGAATGTTAAAGCCTAGCAGTTTTTTCTTCTATATCCATAGTTTATTACTATGTGAATGAAAATTGCTTACGGAATCTTTTCTTCAACACAAACATTTCATTTTATTCCAAAGCTATATATATCACTTGTCATAGTTTTTCATTTACTCTTTTTACTTATACCAAGTAATTTTTTTCATTCTCATCTTTTGCTGTCTTTATTAATGACTTGTTTTGATAACTGTAATTTTCTCCTTTAGGTATTGGATCAGGAGTCAGTTTTCAGTTGAGCAACCAACATAAATTCAACATCCTAATATTATATTCAACTACAAGGTAAGGCTACCTACTTGGCAACCTATCTGAGACATCAGTAATGGAATATTTTAGGGGGGTGAAGTCTGTTTAGTGTCTGTTTATTTTCTGTATTTACATTTTTCTTATAGAAAGGAAAGAGATAGAGCAAGAGAAGAACATACAAGTGCAGTTAACAAGATGTTCAGTATACAGAATGAAGGGGATGATCAACAGGGAAGCCGGTACAGTGTAATTCCACAAATTCAGAAGGTGTGTGAAGTTGTTGATGGGTTCATCTATGTTGCAAATGCTGAAGCTCATAAAAGTAAGTATTATCTTATTTTGTTTTTAAAAGTTTTTAAAAGCAAAGCAAATAAGAAAGTATGTTTTTAGGCGTTACTGTGGCTTGTTAAGAATATCATGGCTAATTTTATCAATGTGATTCTGTTATTACTGTTAATATTGGATTCCCAGAACTTGATGTGCATTAGGATCGCTGAGGGATCTTGTTAAAAACGCAGCTGCCTGATTCCTACCCTGGTGGATTATGACTCATAGATTTGGGCTGTGTCTTGGGCATCTGTTTTTTTAACAAGCTTTACAGAATTCTGATGCACACCGAAGTTTGATACTATAACTACATAGTGTTTTTTTGTTGTTGTATGCTTCTACACTTTTTGTTATTGGTGTTTTGTCTGCTTTTGGCCCTATTCAAATAATTTATGCAGGTAAATGAAAAATTTTACCTTTATTTTAATTATCCAGATAGTAGAGAGATGTGTGGGGTGGAGTGTTTACTTTAAGTAGATTAGTTAAGAACACTATCCATATATTCTGAATAATTGCCATTCACAGTGTGATAAATAGCATGAAAATAGAATATTATTGGGCCACAAGCCAGTATTGTAATTTCTTTCCCAAATCCTCTGTGAATAAGGTAGGGTATAAATATACAATATATTATTCTCACTCGGAACAAGATAGCAGCATCCCACTGCTGAAAGAATTTACAGTTTATGGTGCACTGAAATTAACTATAGCAACAAAAGCCAAATCCAGCTCAATTACTGACTAGCTGGACTCATCCTACTGCATTAATGGCCTAACAGAAGAATCGTGTCCATTTCTAGAAGTAAATCCTTTACCTCAGTCTCTTCTGTTCTTCCACATAAAATATCTGGCATTAAATTAAAAATTATAAGATACAAAAAAATATCAAAATGAAATGACCCATTGTCAAGTGATAAAGCATTCAATGGAATTAGACACAGAGATGACCTGGATGTTAGCCCTCTCAGAAAGAGACATTAAAAGAACTATGATTAATATGTTAAAGAATCTAGTGGAAAAGATGGACAATATATGTGAACAAATAGGGATTTTCAGCAGAGAGAAGGAAGCTATGAAAAAGTAAAATGGGAATGCTAAATATGAAAAATATGATAACAGGTGAACAGTTCCTTCAGTGGACATATTAACAAAGGAAACCTTTTGTGAATGTGAAGATAGATCAATTGAAATTACCCAAATTAAAACACAAAGAGAAAAAAGAGTAGGGGTGGAGGACAAAACATTCAAGAGCTGGGGGAACCTATTAAGTGATCTAACTCAGGGGTTGGCATTTTCTTAAAGGTCCATATAGTAAATATTTTAGACATGTGAGCCATACAGTCTGTCACAGTTACTCACCTCTGCTATTATAGTGCAAAAGTAGCCATAGACAGTTTGCAAATGAATGGACATGGCTGTTTCACAAAGAAATTTATTTATAAAAACAGATCTTCAGAGTGTGGTATGCTGACCCCTGATTCAATTTATATGTGATTGGAGTCCCAAAACATGAAAGGAGTAAGAACAGGGAAAAAGAAATTTCTGAACAGATAATGACCAAAACTATTTCAAAATTACCGAAAGAGAATAAACCACAGATCCAAGATTCACAAAGAACTCCAAACCTGATAAATAAAAAATACAGATACATCATAGCCAAACTGATGAAAACCGAAGGTAAAGAGAATATCTTGAAGGCAACCAGAGCAAAACAAAACATACATATAGAGGGCCAAAGATAAGGACAGAGACTTTCTGACAGAATTTTGCTGTAAGCCAGAAGGTAATGAAAGGAAATCTTTATAGTATTCAAGGGGGGGGAAATCTAATATCCAGCAAAGACATCTTTCAAAAATGAAGGCAAAATCAAGACTTCTTTCAGGCAGACAAAATCTGAGAAAGTTCAATCAGCAGATTTGTATAATAAGAAATATTAAAGGAAACTCTTCAGGCAGAAGAATATGATACCAGGTAGAAAACTGCATCTACAAAAAGAAATGAAGAGCCTTGGGATATAAACAATATAGCTATACATAAAATATTTTTTTCTAATTTTAATTTATTTATCATTATGTAAAGGATAAACAGTAACAATGTATTATGGGCTTATGATATTTTTTAAATAAAATATATTGTAACAATATTACACAGCATGGAAAGGCAGAAATGGAAATATAGTATTATGAGGTTCTATATGTGAAGTTATATAATACTTTTAAAAAGTAGACTGTTAGGGACTTTCCTGTGGCACAGTGGTTAAGAATCCACCTGTCAATGCAGGGGACACGGGTTCGAGCCATGGTCTGGGAAGATCCCACATGCCATGGAGCAACTGAGCCCGTGTGCCACAACTACAGAGGCTGCGCTCTAGAGCCCACGAGCCACAACTACTGAGCCCATGAGCCACAACTACTGAAGTCCACGTGCCTAGAGCCCATGCTCTGCAACAAGAGAAGCCACCACAATGAGAAGCCTGCACGCCGCAACGAAGAGTAGCCCCCGCTCGCCACAACTAGGGAAAGCCTGCGCGCAGCAACGAAGACCCAATGCAGTCAAATAAATAAATAAAATAAAAACTAAAAAAAAAAGTAGACTGTTATAAGTTTAAAATATACATTGTAAATCCTTGAGCAACCACTAAAAAAAAGTGTAACAGAGGTATAGTTAAATAAGCCAGTAGTGAAGATAAAATGGAATCATTAAAAAAGTCAGTTCAAAAGAAGGCGGGAAAAGGAACAAAGAATAGATGGAACAAGTCAAAATTCAAGAGGTATATGATAGATTTAAATGTACTGTGTTGATAATTACATTAAATGTTTATTTGTTTTCTATTAATATGTAACAAATTACTGCCAACCTAGTGGCTTAAAACAACATCTGTTTATTAGCTCAGAGTTCTCTATGTCTGAAGTCTTGAGCACGGCATGGCTGGGTTCTCAGCCTAGGTCTCAGAGGCTGAAATTAGGGTGTCAGATGGGTTACATCCCTTTCTGGAGGCTCTAGGGAAAAATCTGCTTTCTAGCTCACTCAGTTATTGGCTGAATTCAGCTCCTTACTGTTGTATGGCTGAGATCCCTGTTTCCTTGCTGGCTGTCAGCTTGGGGCAGCTCTCAGCTTCACAGGCCATCGTCATTCCTTGTCATGTGACTCCCTCTGTCTTCAAATCCAGCAATGGAGAGTCTCTCTCACTAGGTAGAATCTCATCTGTTTTAAGGGATCACCTGATTAGGTTAGGCTCACTGAGTTTAATCTCCCTTTCTTGAAGTCAGCTGTGTCTTATAGTATAGCCTAATCATGTCAGTGATAATCCCACTGTATTAACAGATTCCTCCCACACTCAGAGGAGAAGGGATTATACTGGGGTATGAGTCATTGGGGTCATTTTAGAATTCTGCCTACCACAAAATGTCAGTGATTTACACTCCAGTGAAAGGCACAGATTTTCAGTTTGGATAAAAAAGCTAGACTCAATTATATGTTTAAGTTTTGGAAACTATGGCCTTTGAAAGAAAGGGTAGTGACAGCTACAGAATTTGTGAGAGGAAAATATCTATATCAAAGTATTTTTGCTTTTAAACCATAGAGACATCTGAGTGGTACTGTTTTTGTTCTCTCTGATTTCACCTAAATTCCTGTCCTTGCAAGGCTGATTAATGTAGTTTTATGAAAGATCAGTAAATGAACACAGCAATAGAGGCAGTTTGTTACGTTTGGATCCTGGTAATTTTTCGCTTCCCTTGTTTTGTTAGTTTTTAATTTTGTTTTATTATTTTTTAAGTCATTACAAGTAATGCAAATTAAGGGTTTTGACTACATTCCTTAGGACATGAATGGCAAGATGAATTTTCTCATATTATGGCAATGACAGATCCAGCTTTTGGATCTGCAGGAAGACCAATGCTGGTTTTATCTTGTATTTCTCAAGCTAATGTAAAAAGAATGCCCTGTTTTTATTTGGCCCATGAGCTGCGTCTGAATCATCTAAGCCACCCATGGATGGTAAGGCCCTATTTTCTCTGGTGAGAAAAATCTCATTTTATTTTTCACTCTACTTTCTAATTGATTTTTATTTTTAAAATTCTTTTCTACTCATTCTCTTTAATAAAATAACATTCTAAAAGTTAGTTTTAGTAGCTTAATTGGTGGGAGATATTTGGTATCAAAGCTGACCTCTGAGATAAGTAATAAACCTCATATTGGTAGTAATTATAAGACAGAAGAGAAGATGATATTTTTTAATCTAAGCTCTCTAGAAGACCAAACTTGAGTGATCACCTAAAGTCTATTGGGATCTTTTTAGTCCTATTCTTTTTTGAGTGTCCAGGAAAATGTCCCACTTAATTATAAGATTTTTCACTCAGTTTCTTATTGACAGTAATGTCTTTTATTTGCTCATAGGTCCAGGATACAGAGGCTGAAACTTTAACTGGTTTTTTGAATGGCATTCAGTGGATTCTTGAAGAAGTAGAATCTAAGCATGCAAGATGATCCTCCTTTCAGACCTTGGGAACTGAAAACATTTGGAACTTGTTACTAAGGTCGTGATGTGGATATTTGCTCAAGTCAGCTTATTCTGCCCTGCCTTTTTGCAGGTAGGGTTTATATTGGACAGCTGTAGCTACTCTATTTTTAAATATAATTTTTATTTTTTACCTTAATTACAAGAAAAAAGTTTCAGTGCCAGCATTTGGCCCCAAAATGAACCTTTTAATATTTTAAAATAACATATATACATATATATATATTTTTTAATATTAAATTCTGGAAAAACAAGTTTATGCCTCTTTCATTCTTTGTGGTTTCTCTTCTTTTTGTTTCAAAGATTGCTATAGTGGGGAATAGCAAATTTACTAAGCTTTCAATAGGTTCTTTTCAAAGGTCCTTAACTGGTTATCAAAAAATAAGTTTCTATCTGTTTTTAATAAATGTACTATTTAAAACTGAATATTCACTGGAATTTCATTTACTATTATGGCCATACAACTTCTGTTTCTTTTCTGAAACAGGAATTAACTTTGTATCATATTCAATACTAATTCAGTGAAAGTAACTGGAAATTCTTGCTCTTTTCAAATAACTTTGAAAGCTCATGAGGTGCTAAAGCCAAATTTTATTCCTTACTCAGAGAAAATATTCCAGAGACGCTCATGATCATATGACCTCCTATTCACTAATTGCTTGCACTTTGCAGAGGAAACATTACAGTCCTCCTATCCCATTGGAATTGAAGAATTTTTAAATTATAATTTAAAAAGCATAATATTCTTAGTGGTGCTGCACCCAAGATACAGCCTCCATCCTGCGAGCAGGTGCCGTTTCAAAGAAAGGAGCTGTCACATCTTGGGTGCACTTATCCAGAACTTAGCTTCAGCACTTGTATAGTTGGGGGCAGAGTGAGAAATGCTGACATCCTGCTCCTCCTAGGAAGGTTGCCCTCTGACTTGGAGAGAGAGTGCTGTTTCCTCGGCTGCCCCAGTCTAGAATGGAGTTTCTTCTTTCTGAGCTGGAGGAGGGAAGGAGGGGAGTGGGTCTTGGTTCAAATCCCACAGACTCTTACTGTTCTTACTGAGTTTTAGTATATATATATATTTGAATAAATGTTTCTTCATTTGCTGTATGCTCTTAGGACCATTTACAGAGATTTTAATGATTTTTTTTGTAGTCCATTTTTGTCTTTATTTTATTTTTTAATGATTTTAAAAAATTAATTTTCTCCAGTTTCTCTAGGCAGCCATTACATGGAACTCTTCATTCTGTTATGCCAAAAGTAGATCTACTCTCCCCTTTTTTTAATTATATGTAGTTATGTTACCTCATTCATTCCTGATGTTGGTAATTTATGTCTTTTTCATGATCAGTCTGGCTAGAGTTTTATTGATTTTATTATTCTCAAGAACTAGCTTTAGGATTTATTGATTTATTCTATATTCTGTTTCATTGATTTATGCTCTAATCTCTATTTTTCTGCTTTTTAAATGTAAAAAAAATTTTTAATTTCATCTTCCCTTTTATAGATTATTAAGGTACAAACTTAGGTCACTGATTCTATTTCTTAAAAAAAAAAAAAGAAAAATTAAAGCTATAGATTTTCCTCAAGACCTCTTTAGCTGCATCCACATGTTTTTTTATATTTATTATCATTCAGTTAAAATATTTTCTAATCCCGTGTGATTACTTTTTCAATCCAGTGATTATTTAGTAGTATTGTTTTAGTGTTGTTTAATCTCTATTTCCTAGATAATTTATTGACATCTAATTCAATTATCTTTTTACATACTCTGTAAAATTTCAGTCTTTTTAAATTTATTGAGACTTGCTTTATGGCCCAGCTTATGGTCTGTTCTGGCAAGTGTACTCCATGCACTTGAAAAGAGTTTACGTTTTATAGTTTTTGGGTGTAATATTTGGTATCTATCTATTAGGTCAAGGTAGTTGACAATGTCCAGATATTTTTATATGGCTATATTGCTTTTGTACAGTTGTTTTATCAATTACTAATAGAAGGGCATTAAAATCTTCAACTGTGATTTCCTATTTTTCCTTTTAATTCTGCCAATTTTTGCTTCATGTATTTTGATGCTGTTTCTTTTTTTTTTTTTTTTTTTTGCGCGCTACACGGGCCTCTCACTGTTGTGGCCTCTCCCGTTGCGGAGCACAGGCTCCAGACGCGCAGGCTCAGCGGCCATGGCTCACGGGCCCAGCCGCTCCATGGCATGTGGGATCTTCCTGGACCAGAGCACGAACCCGTGTCCCCTGCATCATCAGGCGGACTCCCAACCACTGCGTCACCAGGGAAGCCCTTGATGCTGTTTTTAAATGCACACACATATATGACTTTATCTTCCTGATGATTTGGCCTTTTTACCATTATGAAATGTCCTTTTTGCTGATAATACTCATTGTCTTGAAATCCATTTTCTAGTATTAATATAATCAATCCAGCTTTTAAAAAATATTGTTCTCATGGTATATCTTTTCCATCCATTTACATACAACCTAAATTTGTTTTTATATTTTAAGTGTATCTCCTATAGTTAGAATATAGTAAATCTTGCCTTTTCCTTTTCCATTCTGGCAATACGTACATTTTAATTAGAATGTTTAGATTATTTACATTTAATGTGATTATTGATATGATTGGGTTCAGATCTACTGTTTTTTTATTTTCTTTCTCATTTATCCTTTCACCAATGTTGTTTCTCTATTCCTTCTGTTCTATTTTGAATTATTTTATTTTTTTTAGAAATTGATTAAAATTTTTCTAGTAGCTTTTCTCTTTGCATTTTTTAGAGGTTGCACTAGTGATTACAACATATACACCTTCCAAAGTTTTCTTATAATTAATATTGTACCAATATGTGTAATATGTCAAAATGTAACTGTTTATGCCCTATTATTCTCCTCACCACTCTTTTTTGCTAACACCTATTGAATGTATTACACTTACCTGTGTTATAAATCCCAGAAGACAGTGTTACAGTTTTTGATGAAACAGTCATATATATTATAAAGAAATTAAAAGAAGAAAAAAAACTGTTAAATAATGAAAGTATTCTTTTATTTTTTTCAAGACGAAAGCATACCTCGTTTTATTGTACTTTGCTTTATCGTATTCCACAGCTACGCATATTTTACAAATTGAAGGTTTGTGGCATCCTTGCACTGAGCATCTCTATCAGTGCCATTTTTCCAGCAACATTTGCTCACTTCATGTCTCTGTGTCAGATTTTGATAGTTCTTGCAATATTTCAAGCTTTTTAATTATAATTGTTATGGTGATCTGTGATCAGTGATCTTTGATGTTACTACTGTGACTTGCTGAAGGCTCAGATGATGATTAGCATTTTTTAGCAGTTAGGTATTTTTTAATTAAGATATTTACACTGTATTTTTAGACAGTGCTGTTGCACAATTAATAGACTACAGTATACTGTAAATATAACTTTTAAAAATTTTTTATTTATTTATTTATTTATTTATTTATTTTTGGCTGTGTTGGGTCTTCATTTCTGTGCGAGGGCTTTCTCTAGTTGAGGCGAGCGAGGGCCACTCTTCATCGCGGTGCGCGGGCCTCTCACTGTCGTGGCCTCTCTTGTTGTGGAGCACAAGCTCCAGACACGCAGGCTCAGTAGTTGTGGCTCACGGGCCTAGTTGCTCTGCGGCATGTGGGATCTTCCCAGACCAGGGCTCGAACCCGTGTCGCCTGCATTGGCAGGCAGATTCTCAACCACTGCGCCACCAGGGAAGCCCTAAATATAACTTTTGTACGTACTTGGATACTAAAAAATTTGTGTGACTCACTTTATTGCAGTATTTGCTTTATCGTAGTGGTCTGTAACCAAACCCTCAGTATTTCTGAGGTATGCCTGTATATAAAATCATGGGTTGACAATTTTATTCTCTCAGCCATTTCAAGATGTTCTTTTGTTCTCTTCTGGCCTCTAATTTCTGATAAGAAGTCATTCACTAATTGCATCTTCATTCCCTTGAATGTAATTTTCTCTCTGCTTTCAAGTTTACTTTTTGTCTTGGTTTTCAGCACTTTCACCATAGTGTGTCTAAATATGGTTGTCTTTATATTTATCCAACTTGGGGGTTAATGAGCATGTTGAGTATATAAATTCATGTCATCCACCAAGTTTGGGAAATTTGGGGTCATTATTTCTTCAAATATGTTTTCTTCCCCATTCTTTCCTCTTTTCATCCGTCTTAGGCCTCCATTGTGTAACACCATTAAATGTGTTGGTATTTAACCTGTCTCTGAGGCTTTGCTCATGTTTTTCAGTCTTTTTTCCTCTGTTTTTCAGTTTGGGTAGTTTCAACTGATTAATGTTCAAGTTCTCAAACTCTTTCCTCTTTCATCTCAATTCTCTTGTTAAATAAATCCCGTGAATTTTTCAGTTAGATATTGTGTTCTACAATTTCCTTTTGTTTTCCCAAATTTTATTCTTCTTCTCAGATTTCCTTTGTTTCATTGAGAGCATATGTTCCTTTATATCACTAGAAATGGTTGTAATGGCTGCTTTAAAATCCTTCTCTGCTAATTCTGAAATGTGAAAGAGTTGATTTCAGTTGATTTTCTTTTATGAACGGAATGAGTGTCATTCTCAGTTTTCTTTGTAATGTTGCAGAATTTTGTATTGTATTGAAAAATATAAATGCTAAGTTGTGGAGACTCTGGATTCTGCTATTTTTCTCCAATGGATGATGTTTCTTTCGTTTAATCAGTTAACAGGTTTAGACATAAACAAACTCTGTCCCATGGGCAATAGCTCCACTCTCCGTTCATATCTTTTTTTTTTTTTTTTTTTGCGCAGTGTGTGGGCCTCTCACTGTTGTGGCCTCTCCCGTTGCGGAGCACAGGCTCCAGACGCGCAGGCCCAGGAGCCATGGCTCATGGGCCCAGCCACTCCGCGGCATGTGGGATCTTCCCGGACTGGGGCACGAACCCGTGTCCCCTGCATCGGCAGGCGGACTCTCAACCACTGCGCCACCAGGGAAGCCTCATATCTTTTTTTTTTAAGTGAGCAGCTTGAGTTGGTTTTGCGCTCAAGATTCAAAGATACAGACAGAATTTGGGGATTCCCTTCCTAGATTTTTCTTTTCTAAGACTCCTGCTTTTCTCTCTAATGGCTGCAATTGCCCCGTGTCAGTACTCTCATTCACCATGCCAGAAAGGCTGTGATTATTCTACCAGTTCCCCATGCTACAGTGTATACCAATGCCTACCCCCAATCTACAAGTTAAAAAAAAAAAGTGGGAAATTACTCTGTTGAACTTCCCAGAGTATATACTCTCCACCAAAATTTGCCTGCTTCTCTTCACTATTCAGCGGTATCAGGTAGCTGCCTTTTTTGTATTAATATTACGTTCTCTGCAGAAGAATTATTCCAGTAGGAAGTTGTTGGGCCAAAAATCATTTGACATTTTACCTATATCACTTTATATTATTTTTTAGTAGTTGGTCTAGGAATTATAATATCCATCTGGAAATAGAATCCTGGGTTGACTTTTTTCTTTCAGCACATTAAAGATATAATTCCATTACCTTTGGCTTCCAATGTTTTTGACAAGAGTCAGCTATTTTTGTTCCCTGAATTGAATGTGTTATACTTCCCTGGCTGCTTTAATTTTTTTTTCTTTATTTTTAATGTTCAAACAGTTTGATGTGTCTGGCAGTGATTTCTTAGTTTTGAACTAAACTAAAGAACTGAAACTCTTTGATCTCTGGCTGACTGACTATATGCCATCAGCTTTGGAAAATCTTTAGCCAATATATTTAAATATTTCTGCCGTCCAGTTCTTTCCACAGCTTCTGGAACTCCCAGTTACACATATATTAGATCATTTGATATTTTGTCCCACAAAATATTATTTATTGATTGATTTTTTACATCTTTATTAGAATATAATTGCTTTACAATGGTGTGTTAGTTTCTGCTTTATAACAAAGTGAATCAGTTATACATATACATATGTTCCCATATCTCTTCCCTCTGGTGTCTCCCTCCCTCCCACCCTCCCTAACCCACCCCTCTAGGTGGTCACAAAGAACCGAGCTGATCTCCCTGTGCTATGTGGCTGCTTCCCACTAGCTATCTATTTTACGTTTGGTAGTGTATA